ATCAGGGCTAACTTCAACATCATGAGCTTGTAGGTGGCGATAATTTATAAGAGTATCACTCAAAAGATCTGATATCACAGTAAAACAAGATCTAGTCTCGTCTTTGTCCAAAGCATTGTTATCCAAGACCGGGCGATCAAGCTTGAAAGGTCAGTACTGAATAAAACTTTCTCCTGGAAGGTGCGTACCTTAACCTTAGCTTCCTTGGTATAAGTATTAGTAGAGGTTGAAAAAACGGACTTCCTTTTACGGCCCATTGTTACGGCGCATTAATAGTAAAAAAAAGTGGCATTTAAATCCTGTATGTATTCAGAAAATACTACCAGGGTCATCATATCACGTGACGGCGATAGTCAATAGGCCAATGTGTCGGTCTGGTGTTTCTTATCCTCTTAGCCTCATATACCCAAATATGGCGGCGCCCTACAGTCGTATTCTGGACCTTGCTAAGGTATTACCTCATGCACAAGCTGTGTCTTTTTGTGTAATCAACTGTGAACTGATGGTAATGCTGCTTGTAGGTCCAATGTCGAATCTTTTCACTTAACTTTAATCCGCAAAGGTTACGGCTGGGAAATAAGGTCCTTCGACAGCGACTTCGCGGCCCAACGCTTGCAGAATGGTATCCGAAAAAGGCTGTTTCTTTCCGTGATTTACAAGACAGTTACAAGCCTCTCGGCTTAACCATGTTTGATGAAGCAGAGGATGACAGAGAGGAGGCGATCCAAATGTATGTTATCCCTGGTCCTGTAATGCAACATGTACTCACAATTACAAATTAGTGCGAAGCTTCGAGGAAAGGGTCGGCCAAAGAAAAAGAGAACAGCCGCTGGTAAGACAACTCAAAAGGAATACCGTCTTCATGCTGCGGTCACTAATCCTTGGATAGAATCGAGATCCGCAAAGAAAAAGAAATAGAAAAGAAAGGACAGGCATTACCTCTGATCTCATACTAAAAACAATAATTTTGAAGTCTTTCTGTATTATATCTCATGTTGGAGTCCACATGGGCGCAATTTTGATTCATCAGATTTATTCTGAAATACTCACAGGTGCTCATTACTTACCCTTTATGACTATGAATCTTCACTCAGTCCGATCTGAACTTCAGAGATATACATGGAAGCTCAATTGGGAATTACTTGAAACCCTCAAAGATGACCTCTGTAGGCTTGGGTGTGCCCTATGCAACTGATTTCCCCTTTAATTTTGAATATGTTTTAAGCCTACACTCTCACGGTTTCTACCGAATCGGAGAAAACAAAGGCTACGTAGACTTAGATTTTGAAACTCAGATATGTTATGGTAGATCACTCGTTCATAAGATAAATATTAAGTATAGGGGCTACAACTGATCAGTTCCTCGCGCTACTGGTGTTTTGTAAAAAAGCCTCGCCGCCCTGCAACTAGCTGGGTAGATAATACGTAGTTTATACGAGGTAATAATTGATATTTCAATGATCCTCATTATGTTATCAATACAAACACAGGCAAGTCTCTGTATCAGCACGTGATATATTGACGGGTAAATGTCACAGGATGTACCTTAACGAAACCACGACTGATTTTACACCTGAATCCTCTGATCAAAGCAACGCATTACATTGGTCTTCACTTTCACCAATAACTTGTCTATCATATGCCCAATAGTGTGAAACAAGTAAAGCATACTAGGTTGCCGCTCGAGCATATCTCTTGTTTAACGGGCTTTCCTAATGAGGTCAAGCAAGAACCAATTAAGAAGGGCAAGGAAAAAGGCCCTGAAAACACAGGTCCGTTTATTACAGCGCAAACCTCAAGAGGAAACTGACTTTCTCTAGGCTACCGAAGCGACACTCAATGAAGCACATACGAAATCTCAGACAGAGGTGGCTCTATCGACTGATGTCTCACGAGGTAGTGGCGAGCAAGGACATAATGCTGCGTCTCCAGATCTAGAGGACCCGTTATGGCAAGTATATAAGCATATCATTAACAGATTTGATGAGGTCGGGGATAACCCAACATCGACAAAAGAGCTCGAAAAGCCGGAAATCTATTTTGATGATGACGATGAAATCCCGGACGAAGAAGAAAAGGTGCCCAAACTCTCAAAAAGAAAGCGTAAGGAACTGAATAAGCTTTCTGTTGCTGAATTGAAAGCGATGGTTCGAAGACCAGAAATTGTCGAGTGGACAGACACATCGGCTCCCGATCCTCGGCTACTTGTTCACATAAAATCTCATCGCAATGTTGTCCCTGTCCCTTCACATTGGTCCTTAAAACGAGAATACCTCTCTTCCAAGCGGGGAATTGAGAAGCCGCCTTTCGCGTTACCCAAATTCATTCAGGAGACTGGGATTTCGGAAATGCGCGATGCTGCCCTGGAGAAGCAAGAGCAAGCAACACTGAAACAGAAGCAAAGAGAGAGGGTCCAACCAAAGATGGGAAGATTGGATATCGATTATCAGAAACTATACGAAGCATTTTTCCGATTTCAAACTAAGCCGGAACTTACTCGTTATGGCGAGGTTTACTATGAGGGTAAGGAATATGAAACCAACCTTAGACATTTACGGCCAGGTGAGCTTAGCGCTGAGCTCAAGGAAGCTCTCAATATGCCACCTGGTGCCCCCCCTCCTTGGTTAATCAACCAACAGAGGTATGGTCCACCTCCATCATATCCGGCTTTGAAGATTCCAGGTCTCAACGCCCCCCCCCCTCCTGGTGCCATGTGGGGATACCATCCTGGTGGCTACGGAAAGCCACCAGTAGATGAACACAATCGTCCCCTCTATGGTGGTGATATATTCGGTGTGTTGCAACCGCAACAGACAATGCAGCAAGGCGAGCCTGTTGAGAAGGATCTCTGGGGTGAGCTACAAGAACCTGAGCCTTCTGACGAGGAGAGTGAGGATGAAGAAGATGAGGAAGACGAAGAGGACATGGAAACGGGCGTGCAAACTCCTAGCGGACTTGAGACGCCAAGTGGGTTAGCATCATCCGTTCCCTCTGAGTTAGCTGGTGAAGAAAATGTTTCGGGGGAATTTGACGTGCGCAAGCACTATCGAGGCACGCAGACAGAAGAGTCTGTAAGTCATAAGAGCGCTTTTCAAGTTATCCCAGAGCGACAGGCCAATGTGCGGGGCTTCTTCGGTGGCGACAGGGTATATGATCTCGCTGCGCCTCCAGAAAACTTGGCGGTGCTTGGTGCTGATGAACAAAACCGGAAGCGGAAGAAGCCCGGCGACGTTGATGTCTCTATGGATCCAGATGCTCTACAGTCAAGTGAGGGATTTAGCAAAGAAAATGTTCGAAAGCTTTACGAATCCCAGAGGCAGCAGGAAAACAATTCTAGTTGGGGGTTCCAGGAAGATCTAAGCGATATGATTGCCCAGGAAAGTCGGAAAAGGCTCAAAAAGGAAGAAGAAAAACGAAACCGGCATTGAGGTCGTTTCCAGACTAGTTTTTACCATGCATGCTTTACAGCACCTGTACCAATAAAGTCATTGTTCTCGGCCCTGCATTTCTTGAAATTCATAATGTTGTAGAAAAGCATAATGTCCACAAATCTTCCATGCTTTTCTTGACTGATTATTCTGAAAGCAAGGCCCAAAGCGCAGTGGCTACTTTTCAGGGGCATAACTGCCGAATAAGTACTGATAGTGTATTTTGTGATCCCTCCATTCTTCGACCTCTCTTAAGCTATAGTAGACCGGTTAGTCTCCTATTAAAGATTTAATTCTTGTCAACAAGTGTAGTCCATCAAGTAAGAGTATGTTGGGCTGAAGAGAGAGAGAGAGACTGAACTGTGCTGTATGCTCGAAAATCAAACAACATCGGTGGTTCAGTCATGTGATACTTGCCCTGTCAAAAGGTCTAGGACAGGTATGACAGGTTCTCGGTCCATGCCCATTACCTGGTATCAGGTGTAGCTTCAATCATCCCTTTTGTTTCCAGCCTAAATAATAGCTGCCTATTCATTGTGATACTTTCTGTGCAGTCCGGTGACCTTGACATTACGAACTTTTGTCTGTTTATCTCCGCATGGACTGGGATCGCAACAGACGGTACATGTTTACGCCACCCCCCTTCTTTACCATTTTTATTCTTCTCTCTTATACCCTAAGTTGACAGTCTTGTCTTGAAACCTGGGCTAACGAATTACTCATAGATTTGACGATCACCGTGGCGGAGAGAGCTATCGCCCGGCAGGTCCTCGTGGTTATATTAGACGCAGTAGATCGCCACGGAATCGTTCCCCTCGTCTAGTAGCTGACACATGGGTGCCATCCTCAAGTCGGCCATATGGTCGCGGACGCAGTCGTTCACCTCCCGCTTTTAGGGGTCGCTCATCCCGGAGCCCGTCTTTCTACAACAGAGATAGCGGCCCTAGCTCATACCTGAAGACATGCTCTCCCCCAAGAAGATTCTCACCCAGACGCGAAGGACGACCCAGGTCTCCTGCTCCTACTTCCTGGCGTGTAAGATCACCGTACGCTGATAGTCGACCTCGTGACTTCTCCCGGAATCGGAACATGTCAAAGCGGCTTCGAGATCCATCACCTAACCTAGATTTTAGACCAGCCAGAAGAGAGCGCCCTGCGCTGACTGCATCTGACCAGTACACTAGACCAGCTTCACCTTCCAGGCGTAGCTTGTTGCGAGATAATTTCGCTCGTGGACAGATGGTACCTCGCTCTCGGAGTCCTATCCAAGAGGGTCGTAGGGACCGCCATACAGAGAACTATATAGCCCACAGACGACGATCACCGTCCCCCCGTGGGGTTCCTTCTGCATACACCTCTGCCCCTGGATCGATTTCTAATTCGAGACGGTCATCACCATTCCTAGACAGGGCTAGTGGTTTCCAGTTCGACAACAGGCTTAGGTCACCGGCATCTCAGCCAGTTTCCTGTCGTCGCTTATCGAAGAATTCAGAACATTCGCCATCCCATCACGAGCATGCAATATTGAGCAAAACCAAGCCGATTCAAGATGCAGGGCGTGATTTTCCGCTCATGGATGGAGCCGGCTGCTCTTCAGAGAAAGGATTGGAATCTGATATTTCGGGTCGGGCTCCTTCCCTCGAAACCCAGGGGAAAGGCTTTGGTGAATCAAATCAAGCGCATTCTGGCAGTATTCCAAGCTACCCAAGGGCATATAGCGCAGCACAGGATCATTCACCGCCATCTGGTCCCTCCCATGGGCCCAAGTCTTTGTCTTCGCAAACTCACAGCTCAAATGTATCCCTGCTATCGGCTCCCACTCGTCCTCGCGGAGGGCCGAGCTTCAAGGAAAACGTTTGGACCAGTGCTCCCGCCCGCCGTGGGCCCATGTCGGCTGGGACCTATGGGCCCCCGACTGGTCCGCGCAGTGGCCATATGTCAGGGCCGGGTGTGGATACTCATCGTCATCCTACTTATCGCCAAGGAAGTGTTACAGGAGCCCCATATCCTCGTACCCCGAGGTACATGAATCATCTTACGGGCCTTTGTTCGATTATATCAGGGGGAAGATGCTTCCCGTCTGACCTAGATGCCCTCACGGAAAAGCGCCTTTGGCAATTAGACGCAGACAGGGATCGGCTTATGGAGCAGATTGCCGACACTCAGAAATCAAAATGCACTGGAATGCGGGACTGGGACAGACTAGATAGAGATAGCTCCATTTGCGCTTTGAAAAGTGAACTCGCAGAGGGGCACCTGCAGCGGATTGCGGATGGTGCAAGCGCACATGTTAGCGCAATCTTCTGAAAGTACAGAGTACGATGCTGGGAATCATTGCCACTTAAGAATGAGAACTGCTCATAAATTTTAAAGCCACGTGGATTTCTGTCTTTTCGTTCTCGTATTGATTGATACAAGGATGACAAATGAAAATAACAATGACAAGGTGCCGGGGGGGGGGGGGGGGAAAGAGGGAGAAGACTAAACATAAAATAAAGTAAGCAGTACGAGGAGAAGAGCGAGGGGGTGTATAATTAGTATTTGAGTTCATTGAAACAAGAGTTCAAGTATACCCTGCAGGTGGAATTGCGGCATCTTGAGCGCGGTGTGTGGGGCGGCGAGTTTGCTTGTCGCGCCTGCTTGTTGTGGCTTCGTGTCAACATTGTTCAGGGCCTCCCCAAGGTACAACTATTACTATGCTCCATACCAACAGTGGAATTCACTGTGCAAATTACATGGCGATTGATTATAGGAGATCCTTAACCCATCATCAAACAATCTTCAATTTCATTCATTATCCATTTGGTATCTCCTAAACCAACTCACTCAAATTCTAAACCATCATGAACATCTTCAGGCTTTTGGGTGAGTGCCTTGTGATACTATCTTGCGATTATTCTAACATTCGAACTAGCCGATTTTTCGCACCTCGCATCCATCTTTATTCTTCTACATAAAATGAAGTCGTCTAGTGTATGGGTTTCTGCTTGCCACTTGTAGTGCTCAATCTAATCCGCAAGCTAGAGCTGTTCTGGGCTGTCATTCAAATCACAGGCTTTGTATTTGATGGTTTTTGTGACTCGCTATCTTGGTAAGGGCTCCATTTTCTCTTCACCGTCCCCTCTCGCAAAACTTCTCTAATCCTTGCCAATCTTCTAGATCTCTTCTGGGCCTTTTCCGAATCCTTATACAACACGACTTTCAAGATACTGTTTATTGGCTCATCAGCTTATATCATCTATCTCATGCTTAATGACTATAAACCCACACATGATCCGAATATCGATACATTCAAAGTCCAATACCTCCTCGGGATTGGTGCTTTGCTAGCTCTTCTCTTCCCACATGACTATAGTTTCTCCGAGGTCAGTTATTCAATCATTTATATTTCCATGCGGCCTCTGACAATAGCAAGATTCTCTGGACGTTCTCGATTTGGCTTGAATCTGTTGCCATCCTCCCTCAGCTCTTCATGCTTCAACGTACCGGCGAGGCGGATACTATAACAACGCACTACCTCTTTGCATTGGGTCTATACCGCGCTCTTTACATACCTAATTGGATCTATCGCTATTTCGCGGAAAGCTACTTTCAGCCCGTCCCTGTTGTAGCAGGTATCGTTCAAACACTCCTATACTCGGACTTCTTCTATATCTATTATACTAAGTAAGTCACCAAGAATCTTAGAGCCCAATAACGCACTAAACAGGAGTAGGGTCATGAAAGGAAAGAAGTTCTCACTTCCTGTCTAACCATCGGTGTAAGTCGGAGTTATCCATTTAGAGGCGGGCTTGGCAGCAGTGATCAATATTATTTTTTTACATTTATTATAGTTGTGTGGTGTACCTCAAATCGTTTCAAAACGCTGGGCTACGTTTCAGTTTTGATGGATTTTACTTGTTTGTATATTTAAAAGGTTTTCTACTCTTGACAGTTCGAATAATCATGTCAGAGCTAGGTCATGGTCGAGCCGATCTGAACATACTTCCAGCCTCAATCGTAATGAAAATGGTGCATTACAGTCAGTTCCTATTGGCATCATGTAGAGGAGTATGCTTACAACGGAACAAGTCCTTGAGAGTCCCAAACTCGTTTAGGAGAACAACTGAGCCACACCCGAGGGGCTGCTTAATTGTTTAGGGTAGAATAACGTAACCGGCAAGGTAGTGGGTCACGCAACTTGCCGGGTCAGCTTGGTATTGCATACAAAATGGCCTTTTTTAAAAGCTCAATATCTCAACTACAACACTATATATCAATCTATAACTGTAAAGGATTACTAGTATATATACTACTTCTATATATTTATTAAAGAAAATTATTTTAAAGAGTAAATTCTATGGATTATGCCTGTGTCCTGATAAAATCAATGTAATATATATTACCCAGGTAATTAACCATTTCTATACTCTCTAAACTTGTCTGTCTATTATTTTAATATATAGTAGGCTGTATATAAAATTTGAGATAGATTGAACTTGAATAAACTAAGATATTGAGCTTTTAAAAAGGCCATTTTGTATGCAATATCAAGCTGACCCGGCAAGTTGCGCGACCCACTACCTTGCCGGTTACGTTATCGGAAAAGCTATAACGTAATCGGTAAACGAGCGACCACTACAAGCCAGCGGCCAGCTCAGTGGCCGCTCGTTTACTGATTATGTTACGTCTTAAACATAAGATAGACCGATATTTTGGCAAAGAGTGTCCTACGAATTATGACTTAACGCTTGGTTTAGTCAAGTGGTACTTCTCCAATGATCACAAACGCTTGTTAAAAATTGCTAAATATTACTTGAGAAAAAGACATTCTTTGTATTAGAAATTGAAAGAGCAAGAAGAGAAAGAAAAGAACAGAGAAAGAAATAACCCCAAATTACCATATTGTTGGGACCATTTCGAACCCGTCTGATGATTCGCCGGTCGAATGGAGAGCTCTAAAAGTCTCGATGGCTAGACGGGCCTTGTACAGTAGCGAAACCCGAATTGTAATTAGCCTGTGACAATGGGTCTGGGAGATCCCCGTATGGAGAGTCCAACGCGGGAACTGAACTGGGCAGGGGGGGCGTTGCTTTTGCAAAGGCGTGTCCGGGGCTCAAGTTTGACCGTTGCTGTATACCCTTTTGACTCTCTAGCCAGCTACTGTGACCATTGAACTGAGTCAAGTAGCTCGCCTGGGGCCTGTCCAACGGCAATTGAATGTTCAGACTGGATTCACACCTTGATATGGGTGGCGATGGAAGTCTGGGGGAACGAGATACTATCTCGACACGGGGTGAGCTTCTTCTTGAATTAGGAGGAGTGATGCGCGAACCTCCCCGGCGAACTTGACAAGTCGGACATATTTTTACAAAACGTGAGATGAGTTCTTTAGGTACCCTTTGACGAGGATCAACGTATGCTTGCGGTCAGTTTCCACTGGTCGATGATGACTAGGGGATGGGGGTACTCTCAAAAAGATAGGCCTGGAAGGTGCAGACAATTCATTTGAAAAACAGACAGACGTACCATGAATAAATCTGCCGCACCTGAGCAGATGTTTTATCTCTACCACCGTGTTGGCACTGTTGATGTGCCCTAGTGAGAATCTTGAAAAGTTTCTCTCGGATAGCCACGGGCTTTCCTTCATGACAGATCATTTTCATGCACTTGAAAGGCATGTGAGCATCAGCAATAAAGTTCTTCAACCTGATAAGGAGCGAATACGGACATCTGAAGTCCCTGTACCAACTACTTGAAGTTTGAACATCTTTTTGACCCAAAATCTGATGCTATACATTTAGCTGATGCAAACATAATTATGGTCTTGGTGAAAGGTTTGAAAATAGTAGGGATGCTTCCAGCCGAAGGGAAAGGTCAGGAAAAATCCATACCGAAACTGGGCAGATTCTACAGTCGTATCTTTTGGATCTAATAAGACTGTCCTTATGTTTCTCGCCCTTTTAGCATGAATCAATGCTTTGTCTTGCTTCTTCACCGAGAGGTCGTCGACATAGCTGAAGTAGAACACCCCGCATAAGTAAGGCCTCGCTCTACTTGCAACACCAAAGTGGATTCTTTGGACGTGTGGACTACTTACCTTCTCATTAGTTGATCGAATTCCCGTACGTTTGGGAATCCATCCAGTAGGGGAATGACTGGTTCCGATAACATCGTATTCTCATTTCGGGAGTCTTGACTTTCGATATCTGTCTCCCCAAGTGCTTCGCGGAAAGGCAGATACCTTTGGGACTGGAAATAGCGTAATGGTGCCATGTACTGTACCGACTGGTGGTGTTGATGTTGATGATGTTGTTGTAAGGCCGTATGGTCAGTGGTTGATGGCACAGAGTGCACAGGTAAATGGGGAGAAGACAAATGCTGATTATGAGGTGATATGCCTGAGTGGCTATATGGAGAGCTGAATTGGGAAGTATATGCGCTGAAAGACTGAGATGGGAAATGATATGAGCCAGAGTCGTTTACGCTGAACTCATGACCTTCCCCTTGGCTATATGGAACAGGTAAGGCAACTTGCTGGTTCATGATATAGCTACCATGGCCCTCATTACTTCGCCTTCCAAAACCACTCATACTGACTTTCGGTTTGGCTTTCGTCTCTTGTTGGCAGCCGGGAAGTTGAGACCCTTCTAATTTCATGCATGCATAGATTAACACGGGCAATTTCACTGCACAAGGAAGCAACTCGTACTTCTTGCCCTACCATCCAAACCTATATTGATACAGAGATGGAGAGTGTGGTATAATAGGGTGAAGTTTCTATAAGCCAAAAACCCTTGAAGAGTAAGGATTCTGTTTATGGGAACCTTGATGGTACAATATTTTTGTAATGGAGTGTACGGTGAGTTAGTGTCGAAGCAGAGAGACACGCCTAAATACGATAGAGAAAAGGAATAAAGGGGGGGAGAGAAGAGACGACGGAAAACTTGAAGTAGATCCAGAAGAAAAAAAGTGATGGAAGTGTAAATAGAGCACAGTTCGTATACTATGGATCCCAATGATGGCGAGCGGGCTCCGAGTCTCAAATAAGGGAAGAAGATCCTAGGTACTTCCGGTAAGAAGCCTCAGTGTGAATGACATATGGAGAGCTGGTAGGGTATATGTGTGCAAGACCATAGCACCCTACCCTTGAATGCTGCAAGGTAACGTCCAAGAAGTCCGAGGCATCAGTGACAGCTGACAGATCCCAGATTTCCTGGACGTAAAAAATGCTTTGATTATTATCGACTTTGACATATAAAAAGTAATATAGGGGGATAGCACGGGGGATATAGCATTGAGGCTAAGAAAGAATATATCCAGACAAGACTCTGTAAGGTACCTCCTGCAGAAGAGAGGAAAAGAGAGGCAAAAGGGCGAAAAATAAGTGAAAAAAGAAATTATCACATCGAAAGCAAGGCACTGCACATAAAACAGGCAGAAAAAGAAAAGAAAAAAAGGAAAGGGAAGGAAAGAAAGAAACGCGAAGGAGGCTTGTAGATGGTGAGGCCAAAGAACTTGTGGAACCGAGTCAACCGACAAGGTTGATCAGACAATTAGAGATCATCATTGAGAATCGGACAAGAATATGGAAATAGAGAGAGGGAAAGGAAAAAAGAAAAGAAAAATGCAAAAATATAAATTAAAAAAAGAGAGAAAGAGAGAGAGAGAGCAGGACGAAGGAAGGAAGAGAATAGGTCGAGTTTTGGCAGTCTCCATGGAGCCTTTTCCTTTTCAGTGGCACAAAGACATTAGGAGGAAATGCATTTGGGAATACATAGGAAAGAAAAAGAAAAAGAAAAGAAAAAGAAAAGAAAAAGAAAAGAAAAGAAAAGAAAAGAAAAGAAAAGAAAAGAAAAGAAAAGAAAAGAAAAGAAAAGAAAAGAAAAAAGGCAAAAAAAGAAAGAGAAGAAAAGTAATCAGGTACACATACTAAGACTTCAGATTCTGGAGGATGTGTGCAGGTGATACAGTTCAGGTCTCTCATACTTCCAGCAACTCGCTTGTAACTTAACTCCTCAGGTACTTGCGTTGTAAAGCAATCAATGGTCCATGCTGTAACTGAGGACCGAATTCCACTGAGAGGTACAGCTTAGCTGAGAAGTAGGTAGGAATCACCTCAATTGGCTGCACTGAAAAAAATAGACCCTTGCGCTCACATACATGATGGGTACTTGGGTCTCTTTTCCATGCTTCTTAGGCACCACATATTGACAAGCACTCCCTCATCCAGGGTGAAGAGACCAAGAGACTGTGTGTATCTACCTTGTCTTGGTAGTACCTAGCAGCGACTAATCGTCTAGTATTCTTCCACTGATGCAATGCTCCAGGCTTGTCACCCCCTGTTTTGGTTAATACATAATCCAATAAGATGGTAGCGAAGCCCTCTGCGCAGAAGCCCATTTGAAGCCCCTTATTAGTTTCCTGGGAGACCCACGCATCAAAGAAAAAAGTAATCAAGTGTGTGTATGTATGGCATGGTCTCATCAGGCAGTAGTATGCGTAAATTCTAGGCTGTGGATACTGTAGTGTAGGTAGTACATGTTGGCAGGTAGATTGAGCCCAATGGAGTAAGATATCTGTAGAACGTAGGTATAGAAATGGCTTCTGTAAAGGGCCCAAGGCCCTTTCGGTCCCCACTTCGTATGATAAGTACTGTATGTTTTGTTTTATCCATACTAAGTAGTATGTAGATTGGTCGGCCTCGGATGGATGAAGGGAGAAGCAGAGAAATACAGACAAGAAACATACCTACATGTGTCCTGTAAGAGTCTCATCTATAAGCTATACTCTGCACAGGTCATGCTTATGTCCTTGCTAGGCTTTCTCTTTCTTCAATCCTACTTTTTAAGTGCGCACAGCTGAAACCAATGTGTGTGATATGGTATTTTACGAATCGGTGCTGTATGAATTGGTTGCTCACACATAACATAAAGACAGGACTAACCTACCTACCTAGTACTACACAGGTATCTACCTACATATTACGTTTGGCTGCTTGTATGTCCATAATTGCCAGTAGTCTAAAATAACGATTATATTACTTTTCCATGGCGCGCCCTGGGTAAGTACGATGTAATCGCCCATTACTGGGTTTTGCTTAACAGCGGATGCCTGTACATCTGTACAATATACCTGGACACTGTACTACACCAGGTTTCCCCCCTAAATCCATTTATTGCAGGAAATGCGGTGGGTTATTATAGACTAGCTACCAGCATAATTAGTAATACTGCCATGCAAACTGTCAGTGATGTTGATATTGTTAAGAGATCTTAATCCCCTTACGTCTTGTACTAGTATGCATTAAGGCCCGTCTGCAAGTAACCGGATTGGATGGACGATGCTCCATCCGTTGTCTATCCGTGCACAACAATTGAACAGGGGTCTATGTAGGACGCTGTACTCCGTATTTCCCGTAGGTCTAGTCAACGGGGTTGATATCAGTGGCTGATTTTCATGGAGCTGGGTTCCCTGCAGAGCCATCGATGCTACTTGTATGATATACTATCATCAGAAGCTGATGCAAGTAGTACTAATCCTGCTATTATTGACTACTGCTGTCAGCGTCTAGTGATATAAAGAAGCATTGACATAAAGTCTGCCAATTTTACGTCATCCAAGGTACCGACTAAGAGCACAAAATTCCATGTGCAATGTGTCATCTTTTGATCATGTGAACATATACTTTCTAGTGTATAATCACAACAAGACACTGGTGGAATATCAAGAGAGCGGAGAGGACTACTTAGAGCTTTATAGTGGGTAACTGTATCTTAGATGTACTCTTTACTATATTACCATATTCTACGGAGTACACTGTGTCCTTAGAAATAGCATCCTAAATAAAGCTAGGGCTTCTGCACAGGGACAAGGGAGGATGAGTAGTAGAATCTACCCAGCAAATTATACTTTACGGAATTACTATAGTAGATGCGAAATGCGTGGCTGGTGGTCAGCTTTGCGGTGAGGGGCCTGGTCGCGTTCTAGAATTCGGTAAAAACATCTGCTCTAAGACTTGGGACCTGGGTATGCCCTGTATACTCCCTGGTTTGTTTTGGGGACAGGATTGTAGAAGCAACGCCCATTAGTGACACATTCAAGTGCATAAATTATGTTAATAGCTGGAAACACCGAGTGGGCGATAGCACTAAACGTCTGCCGGGCACCGTACTTGTAATTAAAATAGTATCCATGATGTATTTGACACATATTATGCAGAACCGCTGATGCTGCTGGGCAGAGGAGCGACTATTGGAGCCATGGGTGCTTTGGTCCATGAAGTCTGCCTTGAGTCCCTTGACCGTTAGTTCCTATACTGCTTAGATCCCATGGTTGAGTGCGTTGGCAACCTATTTGTTGCGATGTTATTGGTCAAGTAAAAGCTCAGTTGTCCTTTCGGGTCTACGTGTAGTCGATCCGATGCTGTGTCACACAAACAATTGCAATGTCCACAGAAAACATCGGAGGCTGGCTGAGGTCTGCTGGGAAGGTGCATGTCATACATTAGTGTCATTAGTTTCGTAAACAGAGTGCATCAATTTGTTCCCTAATAGATCGCCAGGGTGCCCTGTAAGACTTTTGAAAGCTAACACTACTAGTATGTCCATACCGTAGGCAGCCTGGCAATTGTTGCAACTCGCCTACAACACTTGGTGCACGGTCTTCCTTGTCCACGATAATCTGCGTCTGCCTAGTATAGACCCATCAACAGCTTCCGCCTGCCGTGGCTGATTGGACTTGATTAGAGACTTATAATACCAAGACGACGATAGAGCAGTGGGGTTATGTGGGATACAGGAAGCAATTTTAAATACACCTGATTTATTTTCAACTACTCCTTCTAATTTCTTCTTCTTGTCGGCGAAAATGGCATGATGGATGCTAACAATTGTCGGGAGAGGAAATTGTTTAAAAGAAAAAAGAAAAAAATAGACAAGCAAATAAGGAGGTAATATTTCTCGTATACTCGTTTTCGCCAATTGTTCATCGAGGTGGGTGATCCCATGCTCAGATTCGCTAACTAGAGCGATCTTCTAAGTCTAATACAGACGGAATGGCTGATGCATTAATGGACATGGACTCAGCACGAGAATCTGAATCATCTACTCCATACATGAAGAGGTATATACAGCAGCAATTATAAATACATAGAACTCCTGCTTCTTTAGTATCGATACTCCCATAAGGCACGACATCCTATTTTAAGAAAAGCAGACAGAGAGGAAGATCATAGTATTGACCGGTTCATTAAGGTCAAGGAGTCCATAGCCTTTCGTCATAACCTCATGCAGGATGCCCATTGCAGCTTAACCACAAATAGGGTTATCCCACTATCGTGAAAACGTTTCTTACCATCATCAAAATCTTAGAAGTGTTGGAGGTGGAGCATCAACCAATGAAGTATAACTCCATTGTCTCCAAAGGGTATCACTGCCTCAACCTCTTTCACCAATCCTCCCATTCTTCCTTTAGTATTTTCTTTTTCTTTTTCTTTTTCTTTTTGGCTTTTTTGTTTTTTTTTTTTTCCCTTCCCACTCTCTCCGTCCCCCGGCCCTCTCTCTGTTCCCCGTTACTTTTCCATCGCCCTTTTCGTCAGAGGGTGGTGGGAACAGAAAGGGGATGTGTTCAATATGCCTTGATGATCACCCACTATTGTGGTCCCATGTGCTGTTAAATTGCACCAAGTCTCGAATAGCCCATCGCCAGCCGTCCCCAAATCTCATACGATCGAAGCCGACCCACCTATCAACTTTACGCCTCCATTTTTCTTCTTCTGCACGCTGACGCCTGATGAATTCTGGGCCAACATCAAATTCTTCCGTCATAGGCCACTCGTCTGACGAATCCCCACAGCTTCGATCATCACCGCTCCCACCGAACCCAAAATCATCATAGGTACTCGAGTTTCGCAGTCTGGAACTGCTAGTCTTGTGTTCGAGGTCACCAAGACCGGCGAAGACATCGTCCTCATCCTGAACTGCCACCAGCCCCTTTGTCCCTGGTTGCTGTGGCGCCAGTTTAAGCCAGCACATACGTTGTGGATCGAACACCATCCCACCAACTACCTGCACATTCTGCATCGCGCCTACATTAGTGATAAGAGCGGGTGCTGGTTTTGGTGATTTGGGCGAACCCTTTTCAAACTCCCGAATCAAGCCCTCATTTCCTTCCCAACGGAAAGCATTAGGATTGTATTGCATGCCGTTTACAGCTAGGCCAGTCAGTCTATAGTCCAATGTCCCGAACAGAGAATCAACGTACATTTGGCCTCCTGGACACCTGCTCCCAAAGGCTTAATTAAGTGTGGTTTGCATCCAGCCGCAATAGCAGGTCTACTCTTTCTGCTTCTTATTGTCGAGGTTAAAGGAACCCGCGAGACTGTTTGTGCCTTCCAGATTGCGTTCAAAGAGGTAAGCGAGGCATTCTCACGAGCCTTTGCGTTGAATGTCATTGAGGCGATGCGCTGCTCTCTTGCGTTTCTTGAGGCGTTGGTGTCCCGTGCAAATCTTGGGGTGGAGTCATGAGACTTTGGGGTAGTACCGAGTACCGGTTGTTGGGGGGTAGGAGTTTGTGTCCTCGCCGGTATGGTGTGGCTTCGATTCAGCCTATTTCGAAGGGACCGCGGGGCTCCACGTCCAGAAGGAAGCTTCACGAATCGGCTTTCTGCTGAAGTAGACGTTGGCAAGTCATCAAACGATGCCAGTTCAGTACCATCACCAAAGTTACGCCGACGGGTTGGGCGGGTAAGTGCTCTCTTTGTGGAAGTGACTAAGGCTTCGGGACTTGAATCATTTATGGTATTACCGAAAGTATCATGGCGACTCGACCGAGACAAGCGAGATGGAGCTTGCGAATTGAATACGTCATTGGAGCTATCCGAATTTGTACGACGGGATGGCCGGTAACTTTTGACGCTGGCATGGTGTGACTGATTTTCTGACGCCCCAGCTGGGATAAACGGTGCATGTGATTTACGGCTTAATGTTCTCACGTCATTTGCGCGATCAACCGGAGTTCTTGGTCGGATGGTAGAAAAGCTCGATCCGTCTTGGCGAGAAGGGGAGCGCTGGAAAGATGGTATCGCTGGCTGTTGTGTGTTTCGCATCGATGGCATTGACCGTTTCTTTTTCGGTAGCTGATTTCCCGCAGTGATACGTTCGCTACCAACAGAGCCCTTTGGGACTCGCGAACCGACAAGTCGCAGATTTGGAGCGGAGTTAATCGGGGACATTAATGTAGATCCGGAGGGTGTAAGGCTAGACAGTGATGAATGCGAAGAATGCCCCCCTCCTCGTGACGGAGGCGTTCGGAACTTCGATAAAGGAGCACCGCTTTCTGAAACAGTTTCCAGGTGTGTTGAATGCGGACGATCGTGACTAGAAAGACGGGGTATCCGAGTCTTCGGGGAACCTGTTGTGTGCGTGAAGGTCAGAGTAGTTGCTGAACGCCTGGCTGGGCTGCCAGGACGTTCCGTCTTGCATTTGACGTTTGGATTTATCGAGAGCCTCCTTGAATCAAAGACGTCATCGTCCTCGATTTCAAGACCCGAGAAGAAGTTATCTGTGCTGGCCGACTCACGGCTTGGCTTCGCTAGTTTCGGGTGACTTAAGTTTACATACTTCGGTTCTTGCCGCTTCCTAAGAGAGGACTCTAAGTCCAAAGGCCCGTCGGGGATAACGAGGCCATCTAGACCTTCATCCTCACTCTCCGCAGTCAGGCAACTGGAAGCACTGGGGCTGACTACGGAGACCGAGGAGCTTGGATTCGATCGATGATCTCTTGTAGTACCACCAAATCGGACACCAATGCTGCCTTCAGACCAGTCAATATCTAATTCATCAGGCGTAGGGCTTGAAATCCTCGAGATGCACTGTCGATGTGATAGTTGTAAAGGCAGGTCATCCGCCGGCAATTGAAAATCCCGCTCAAAGTCCTCTAAGTCATGGTTCTGTTTGTCAGGCTTTGAATCGTTAAGGAAGCCATTCCTCTGCGGAGACCGAGATACTGGAGCTCTGATTGTAGGAACATCATCGGCATCGTCGACACTATCATCGACTGGGTAGCTATCCAGATTTGCGAGTGCAGACTGCAAGTGGGAAGAAATGTCATCACTCCAGAAGGGTGAAGCCGACGTTTTCACAGGGCTCGTAGCAGCGGAGCTAATCTGCCGGAGCGATTCCGGGAACGTCGACTCTTGTGGACTTTTTAGCTCCAAGACACCATCTGGCCCTGGGAACTCTACGTCTTCGGACCAATCATCAACAAAGTTTTGCTTAGGTTTCCTCCGCCCCAGGCGTTTGATAGTGCCCCCGACGAGGGCTGACCTGGGCAAATTTGCAGGTAAAGGAATTCCTGCATTTTTGGCAGAAGCTATGGCTTCTTCGTTCACACCTTCTTCATTATCCAGTAGTTGAACTTGCCAATCCTCATCGTCACCCACGTTGGAGTCAAGATCGGAGCGTCCGGAACGACGAGAGGATATTGAATCTCGGTGACCAGACCGACGAATAGATGAATTAGTTACTGATGTGGCACTTGATGCGGTGCGTAATTGGATGTCGTCGTAGCATTGTAGGTCGTCATCATCGTCCCAGCATTCGATTGTTTCTTCACCACGGCGTACTTGAAGCGTTAACGACTCCATGTCAGGGAAAGTGTTGAAAAACAAAAAAACAAAAAATATAGATCGTATTTTCGAGGGGCGGGTTCAGATATCTTCGGCGTTGAAACCCACTGCGTTGTTACAGAAAAGGAACGTCATTCCGTGTGAATGGAATCAGCTGGGTTACGGTGACGTTGCGGGTTTGGCAGGCAAATCGATTTCTTCTTTCCCCTGGAATGGCGTGTATTTCCTGAAGCCCCGTCTTCCTTCGCAAAATATTGATACGTCAAAATCAAAAGGATCGTAGACGGGTGGTAGAGGGTCAAAGGCGAAGTCACGCGTGCCTCCACAGAGGAGAAACGGAACAGGTGACCCGACCTACGGGGAAAATCGACACGAGCCTGATATTCAGCAGTCGTGCTGCTGGTCCGTGTGGAGTGGTCGTGGCCGTGGTCGTGGTTGCTGGAGGATTCCTTAAGAAGAGAGATCGTTTAAACGTTAGGTAACAAGGGGTTGATGAACTACACAACCATTGGCGGGTACATCCCAACTGGAAAGCCTCTGTCAATGATTTGTAGGGGGTTGCCAAGGGGTTAGGTCTCAGTATTTTTTACTTCTCGCTTTCTCGCTTTCCCTTTTTCAGAAGAAAGTAGTTAATGGCTGAGGAACGGGGATTTTCATTAACAGGAAGGGAAGAGGGTGGGCATGGGAAAAGGCACTTACAGAGTACTACTATTGTTTGCTCACTAGTCGCATCATTAGTTTGGGTCTCGTGGCACTAATTAGCTAGTAGTTAAGAGTATAGCATGGTATTAGTAGTATTATAATTTATTACTAGTAGTATTGTTGCTCCGACACTCATACGGATCCACAAGCCGTTGGATGCGTTCGGCAGAGGGATCTAGGTACCTGGCCTTCACTTGAAGTGAGTCGCCTGTTGCAATCTGGGCAGTTTTCCGGTTAGGTTGCTCCGGTAGCTATGAATAAACATTCGATGTGTACAGTGTAAACTACAGGCTATAGTGACATATCAAATATTCCAACCCATTTTAGGTATTCTGTTATCATATGTAGAATAAATATAGTATATTACCAGCCTAGCCAAACGCCTTTAGAAGACAGACCTAGAGAACTGTATACATCGTATCTAGTATCTCTGTCTATAAATGTCAAAATCTACGTGAAGCTCTTTTCCCAATAGAGAATCTTCCAAGTAGCAGACATTGCACCTGGCACCTATGTTTAAATTTTACTAAAAGTAGTTAGGCCGTGCACTACCAATTTAGCGGAGTACTGCTCCGTACATCACCTGCAGTACTCGGTGGCTCATCCTCATTCTTAACCTTACCCTTCGATGGGTCCGAGGAACCTAACAGGCAGCCATCTCTATACCTGGCTTGTAGCCTATTATGGCCCACTGTACCTGGAGCTTCAAGTAAAATACTATCTTAAATAGCGGCAAATAGCTTTCGTACCAATACTCCCTCTCTTCTCAATTACCCGTCACTCGGCCATTTTCGGCACTCCCTCAGTATGTCCTTCGAGTTTGGCCTGTCTCCTCGGGTTCTGCGTTTACCCAGGGCCGACGACCCTGAATCATATATACTTGTTCATGTCGCTCGCACTGGCTCGTCTCTTGTGGATTTGAACGTCACTGCTACTGAAGGCGAGAACCCGTATATTGGTACAGGTACGCCGATCTCTTACTTTCCTGGATTTTATTTGTTGTTTAAGTAATTGAGCAAGAGCTAAGACAATCAGGGCAGTGCGCAAGTCGCACCTACATGAGTTTCGCTCTAAAAACTATGACGGCAACGACGAGGAATGGGTGCAAATTATATCATATGTCTTTGGCCAGCTGGATGAGTCCGACGCGAAGATGAAGTTGTGTGGTATTGAATCATCGGCTAGCGTCATTGGTGCCAGTGATGCCGAAGACAAGGAGCTGGTGATCACTATTCGAAAGAGGATCCAGACCATAACTGTATGTGCATTTTGCATGTAAACACAGATTCTAATCTCTGACAACTTGACAATTTACAGCAAAGACTTGGCTCCGTGACTCTCAGGCAAGATGACCAACAAGCTATCCAGCTCTTTGACTGGGCAGCGCTTGCTGCCGCCAGGGCCCATACCCTCGAGCAGCGTTTTACTTCTTTGCTTGCTCGCTACCGCAGTGCTGAGAACGTGATTAGACAACTCAACAAGCAGCTCGAGGAGTTCGTTTCCGCGAAAACACAGCACGAAGAACAACTAATAGTCAATTTTGTCCAGCTGTTGAACGAAAAGAAGCTTAAGATACGCAACCAGCAACGCCTACTAGCCACTGCAAAAGTAGACCGGGAAAAAGGTGAGGTCAGGTTAGATATTATCCAGCACGGGATTGGCAGTTGACCCGTGATTTTTATAAAACTAGTGTCTTGCATTCAGACTGCAGCATCAGATCAGCATCTCCGACCGCACAAAAGTATCCGGGTCGCGAAGCGTACCGCCGCGGAAATGAGCGATGATGAGGCGGAGAGTGAAACGGAATTCGATCAGACTATGCACTCAAATGACTCTGAGAAGGCCAATGAAACGGCCGATGAGCGATCTTCAACATCTCAGTCTCTGGAGGAAAGGGACGAAAATGCCGCAGATGAAGGGTCTCCCGCGCCCTCAGATTTGACTGGCAGCGAGGACGAAAGACATATGCTCGAACGTAGAAGTCCAGCTGGTCGCCCTGTAATTAAGGAACTACCCGCTCCTCCTCGAAGAGAACTTCCATTTGCCAGAAAGGCCCAAACGGCCGTAACGAAGCCAAAAACACAGGCTCATCAGCAGGAGAATAACACAGAGGATACTGCTGGGGAGACAGATGACGATGAGCTATGACTGGCATTGGTATTTAATTAATAAACAGTAGTTGGGCGTATACCGCAATTCTTGTTGCGTTAGACGCTAGTTACTCTTCTTCTTCAATCTTGAGATAACCATTGTAAACAAGCTGGACACCTTTTAATTTGTGAAATACAACGAACTTCAACGCTTCATCCACAGTTTGGTATTATTATGAATACTCGAAGATCCTAAAGTACCTGTATGCGCAAAAGCTGAATTTTACCTCAATCTTATGTACAAGTTCACCGCTACTGACATCCCAGTTTATACCAGAGGGTGATATGGGAGGCATCTTGGGAATGAGGTGGCAAAACATGACGACTAACAGTTTCAATGATAAGGGAACAAAACACAATAACGAAGTATAGGTGTTACAACGACAACGCCTAGACAATAGACAAACAAGAAAAAACCTAGGCATATCATGCTTCAAGTGGCAAGGGCTTAGCCGTACAAAGCCTGGGGTGACATTTCACCAGCAGCCATAAAGTTCGTCTCTGGGTTTCCTGTGGCCTTAGCTGCTGAGCATCGGGCCATCGTTGGCGAGCTGTATCTCGATTAGAAATGAAAAATTATATAGATGAAGCAACTGTAGGGGTACATACCTCCGAGAGATTGAGTCGGTAAAATAGAAGTCATCGATAACCTTCTTGAAAGGCGCCAGGGTTGGCTGGGTGCCCTTGTTCTGTTCGACCAATTGAATCTTGCTCAACAAACCCAGAGAAGTTGGCTCAATGACGTCGTATCGGCGCATCACAGGGCTAATCTCTTCCATACGGTCGCGGAGTGCTTCAATGTCATCGTACGGAAGAGGCACATCAAGGAACTCACTGGTGGCACGGATAATCTTCCAGTCATCGCGTGCAGCACCAGGCAACGAGGTGGCCGCACGAGTAACTTGTACACGCCCCTCAGTATTGATATATGTGCCGGACTTCTCTGTAAAGGCAGCACCTGGAAGGACAACATCGGCAAGTTGAGCACCACGATCGCCATGATGTCCCTGGTAAATGACAAAAGCATCGTTCGGGATCTCATTCTGACCGACTTCATCAGCTCCGAGGAGCCAAACCATCTTCGGTTTGGTCTGAGCAACTTCCGGAGATGGCGTGGAGAAGCCAACTTCGTAGGCAGCAGCACGAGATGCAGCGCGCTGGAGAACATTGTACCCCTGCCACTCGGGAGTGTTGAATGTACTCGAATGCTTCTCTACAAAGCTGCCGACTGTCTCAAAAACCGCTTTGGCGTCAGCGTGTTCTGCTGCAGCGCTACCAACAATGATCATGGGGCGTTTGGCGGAGGCAAGCTTTTCACCGAATTTCCCTGCAAGCGCCGTTTTTAGAGCGGAAACATCGGAGCCAAAATGCTCAAAGTCGAAGGTACTCTCAAACTTTTCACCAACAAGCCCGATCTCAAGATCAGAGCGCAGATACTGTTTGCGGATGCGTGCGTTAAGGACCGAAGCTTCGTGGCGAGGGTTTGTGGCGACCAACAGAATGGCATCGGCCTCTTCAATACCGTAGATCTTCGAGTTAAAGAGATAGCTCGAACGAACGTCAATACCGTGAGCAATGGGTGAGCTGCCACCTGGCTGGTCCAAAGCAAGGTTATCAGAACCAAGCTTGTTAGATAGATCTTTCATGGCAACGAGCGATTCAGCGTCTACTAGGTGTCCAGCAACAGCCTTGAACTCATTCTCCTTGAGCTGGAGTTTCTGGCGAGCAGAGGAGATTTCCGTCAGTGCTTGTTCCCATGTCGCGGGAACGAATTTTCCTTCCCTGCGGATAAGAGGCGTTGTAAGCCTCTGGGTTTTCAAGCCGTCGCACGCAAACCGTGATTTATCGTTAATCCATTCCTCATTAATGTCATCGTTGAGTCTCGGAATGATCCGCATGACCTCCATACCTCTGCTATCGATCCGGATATTGGAGCCCAAAGCATCATGGATATCAATAGATTCGGTGTGTTTCAATTCCCATGGACGAGCACGGAAAGCATAAGGCTTTGAAGTGAGCGCGCCGACGGGACAGAGATCAATAACATTGCCGGAGAGCTCGGACTCGAGGTTTTTCTCCAGGTAGGTGCCGATCTGCATATCGTTTCCTCTGCCGGCAGTTCCAAGTTCTGGGGCTCCGGCAACATCATTCATGAATCGAACGCAGCGGGTACAATGAATACACCTATTCATAGACGTCTTGACCAAAGGTCCGATGTTCTTATCTTCCACCGCTCGCTTGCCACCAACCTCATGGAAGCGCCCACGATCGGCACCATAACGCATTGACTGATCTTGAAGATCACATTCGCCGCCCTGGTCACAGATGGGGCAATCAAGGGGGTGATTAGCGAGGAGAAATTCCATAACGCCCTCCCTCGCCTTGTGGACAAGCGGTGAGTTGGTCTTGACGTTCATTCCCGGCTGTACGGGCCAAGCGCACGATGCCACTGGTTTCGGTGCACGTTCAACTTCAACTAGACACATACGACCTAAAGAAAGGTTAGCAAATCTTTAAATTTGGCATTATATGAGATCATACAATTTCCTGCAATCATAAGCTTTCTGTTGGGATGTTAGCAGCGGATATAAACGTGGCTTCCTAGAGAGGGCTGAGCGTACTCGTGGTAGCAGTATCTATTGAGATTATGGTCAGCTTTATTTAATAATCTTCGTTGCACGCCTCCATACCTTGGGATTGTCGCGCCCGCTTTCTCGCAAGCTTGAATAAGAGCTGACCCGGCTGTGGAAAGGTATAAGCAAGGAGAGCTAGAACGTCGTATCGCAAGATTAAATCACCTTCTACTGAGACCTTTTTGCCATCTAAAGCCATGGAAATCAGCTTCAATACAGGCATGGAATTAGAAATCAATGAAGCCATACCAATTGTGAGTTCTACTTCGGCGAGGCGATGGGTTGTCGTCGCAAAGGATCTAAGGTAGTTGACTTTTGGGACCCGGACAGCCCGGGCGGCCGCACGAAACAACTGCGGCCGCATACTGCGAGGAATTAAAGGGGTAGGGAAAGAAAGGGAAAATAATTAGAAGAGGAGATGGGTGGATGAGGTGCCCAATGCAGAGCTTGAAGAGCTGATGTTCTTAAAGAGAGCACTTTTGGCTTGTTCGGATTCTGCCAGTCAAGTCGGGGCGTCACTCGCAAATTGCCCGCCTCGCATTGGCTCGGTTATACGGCAAATCATTTAATCCGAGTCACACCTTTTAGTCACGTTTTCTAAGCACCATGGAGATGATTTCTTTCCCTTTTTTTTTCTTTTTCTTCTTCTTCTCTCTTTCTCATATCAAACTCATTCACGGGCATGATTATTGTAGGTGGTAGGGCTTTCTTCTATCCCTCCCCCCTCTGCTACATGTCCCAAGAACAAATGCACTGAGCTGGAGCTCCTTAAGGTTATTCTCATCTGATTGATGTGACTGCCTGATGAAGGTATAGTTCTTTACTGACAGTGGCAACACTCATTGTTGTATATCTATTGCTATAGATAAACGAGCGGGCACTAGTTATTCTCTAATAAACACTTATTAGTATCCAAGTACTCCATTGGCAACTTCAATGGGCTTACAGCCTCAGAACTTAACAATATATTGAGGACACTGTCTGAAATCAAGTGATCAAGCTAGGGTCATTGGCTGGATAAGATTTCGCAGACTGTCAACTCTCTTTCCATTCGATGGTACTGCGTAATTTATATAGTTGCAAACAAGGCACGCGAAATTACAGCACTGTAAAGGAAGTTTACTAGATGTTGAGACTTTGAACATGTACTTCTATTAAGAGTCTTCCATACCAATACAACGATATTGTTCAACACATCCCCTCCCCACCAAGAAAAAAAAAGAGCGCGAGAAATGGATGGAGAAAAGGTACATTACGGCAAACTGAAGATTGTTAGACCGCAAAATCAGACCACTCCAAGGAGTAGAGTACTAGTAAGGACCATGAAAATCAGGGCCAAGACCATCTAAGAGTCACTTGGCTGCCAAGTCGTCTCTTGCTTTGTGCCAGGTGGTAGCCATGCCCTAGTATTACTGCTTCCCCTGGGGCGGACTAGGCCTGGTCTATTATCGTCTTTCTTCAGGTTGTTTGAAAAGGAATGTGTGTCGTCTAGAAACTGACGTTCAATAGTTTTTCCCGGTGGAAATACATAACCGTTCGAATCCCATGTTTGAGTTGTACTCCGGATGTTTAGAGGAAGTACATTTTCCTTCAGGCGAAAGTGGTCTGCGTTCGCCCTTTGGTCTGCTAGGTCATCATGGCTGTTGCGATCGTAGAGATATAGTCCAATAAACGTAAGAACAATGCCAATTGCCTGCATAGCAGTGGTTGAATTGCCAAACCATACAATCGCAACGACAATGACAAATACTCTCTTAACCAAAGAAGCCACCGAGTAAGAAACCGGGGATATCATGGATAGCAGAACGAATGCTAAGATGTTCTGTGCAAAATGGGAGACTCCGTTAAACACAAACTCAAATATAAGTGCACCATGATCTAGAGAGTTCTCCTTGTCTGACAGGGAGATGGATCCGTCCTGCATTATATCTGAAAGTAATGGGTAACCCTCGCAGAGAATCCAGATTGGAAGTGTTAGTATGAAGGCCAATCCAGAGCAATAGCAAAGTAAATTTAACTTGTCCAGTTTCCGTTGAGCAGACTGTTGTGTCTCCGATTCTCCATGCGCTGCTTCGTTGAAAAGCTTCTTGGAAAATATGTTTTGGGAAACGAAGACTAAAGCCGCAACCAATGCGCACATTATTCCAAAGAAATTGGTAGAAAATCCAGTGGAACAGGCAAGCATAACACCTAAAGTCAAAGGAACAAGAGATAGGTAGGTAGCACTGGCATATCGGATGCGAAAGAACACGCGATATGCTAAGACCGTAAACAAGGGCGATAGTCCCTTGATTGTATGAACTAGAGAGACCGGTATTTGGGAAGTGGCCATGGAACTTAGTATGTGGCCTGCTAGCTGAAATGCTGCAAGTGGCAACGCAGTCATTATAACATCGCGTGAGGGGTAGCGGATACCGTTTTTGAGGGCTGGAACACTATTCCTGAGCCATGGCAGTATCTTCGATAGATATGACAGCAGTAAGCACCATATTGATACAAACGCGAATTGCACAATTGTAAGAGTAATTGGTTTTGGGAGTGCATTCAAGATGGATTTCGACGACGTGTTTGTTAGGGCGGAGGTCATGTACCAAATAAGGCAAAGACTCTAAGTAGACGTGAGCCATTATTCCTAATAAGGCGCAAGAACGATTCACCATACTATCAGTTTATATGACACCGGCGCCCGGAGGGCTTGGGCCAATTCTTGCGCATTGGCACTCACACTGGCATTACGTGTGCGGATGGTACTGATTGCCTCGCTAATGCTTTTTCTCGGCTTATGTTTTGGATACCTGATTGTCGCATTTGTATACTCTGGAGCAAAATGGTTTGCTTTGCGCGATTCCCAGCGATCATTCAGTGTATAGTTGGTCGCAAAACTTGAATGAGGTTCGCTTGAAGCTGCAGCTGTTTCATATTGATCGTCCTTGAATTGCGGGAACTTGTCTATCGGACTGGTAGTCATCGATTGTGAAGTAAAATCAGTCGCTGAAGTCTGTAAATCTGACTGCCGTATAGAAGAGCGCCGTCCAGTACCAGTAACAATGGCTGTAGTCATTCCTAATCACTTGATAACTGGTTTTTCATGTCTTTGTGGTTGGTTCGCCTTGAGACTAAAAAGTAGACCTGAACGGTAAAGTCGAGCGGCCATACATACGTCCAGAAGGTAAGGAAGGCCAATTACTCCGACTCTCTCAAGCAACCTTTTCAAGGAGAATTCTCGCGTGCTGGTGGAAAGGCCGTATGAAGTCGACTTGGAAGGATGTTGGGATATTGGGATCAGTATCCAACTGCAGTCTTGTAACGTTTGCGGTTCTTCTCGCTGGATGACGAATCCTTCTGGCGAATGAGCATCAAGGATGGAGAACATGGTGCGGGACCACGCCTTATCACCGAATTTAATATACAGTGGGATGCCAAAAGTTTGAAACTATCCGCTTGACCGCCTAACATACCGCTATATTTCAACCCTATCAAATTCAGTGCTTGAGCCTACACACCTCTATCTACACATTAAATTATAGCTTCTAGAGAGGATATAGATATAAGTTATTGAGTTAGATAGCTGGTATAGTAATTATTAAGACCCAGGGAGGGAGTTTGCGAGATTTCTGCCACACAGAATAGTAAAATTAGGAAAGCGGTTAAACTGGGCAATAAATGGATGGTTTCAAACTTTTGACATCCCACTGTACGGAGTACGGAGGAAGTACTCGAGGAAGGTTAGTCATACTACCTACTCCATAACTAAGTTAACTATAACTTGTTAAATGTTGACGGAGTACTTTACTACGTGCGGCTCAAAATTTCTGACAGGCTAAATTCGAGTTATTAGACGACGGCCTGATAACTACTACGTAGCATGGGTCTTATTAACATCATGGTCTGACTGGCATGTACATACCAACTGAATGCATGTTACATGAACCTATATAATTTATTAGCCACGTATGGAAAGTTAATGGTATACTAATCTTGTTCGTTGATGTATATATATATACACACCTCTATGCTCTGAATCATTATTACTGTTTAATGCCTAAAAGGTGTTGTTTCGCAGTCAACCTTGATTCAGGTCTACTCCGTATGGCATATGTGGTCTTGATAGTAGAGCCACGTGACATATTTAGCACATGCAAAAATCTTCTGTTCTTGGCAGTTTTTTTTTTAAAATACTTACAGCTCAACCAAATCTCAATTACGGAGTATTTCTAGTTCTGATTGAAGTTTTAAAAATTAAAACCACTACTATTGAAGGTATAAAATACCTGCAGTAAGTTAAATTTATTTCATTTAGCTTTAAATTTCAGAATTATTAACTTTTCTCTAAACTATAGTCTTTGAGCTATTCTTTTACTATGTTTTCAATTTCAGAGTAATATAATAAATATTGGTTGAGTTGTAGATATTTTAAAAATTGGCTATTTTCGAAGTTTTGCTGCAAAAGATCAAAAAATGTGTCAAGAACTGAAGATCATTCTGTATACAATAATAAAATAGCGGCAGTTGATGATTTATGTAGGGAGTAAGCTACCAACAAACAGTGTAGTCATAGATTCCCAGTATATCTATGATTGATTATGATAGAATGCCCCTATAATAATTAGATATATAGATAGTAATAGAGCTCCTAGTTTCTTCTTCCCTCTACTCTCCCTATTTTATTTTATTTTTCCTTTCTCAGGGAGGGAACTAAGCTTTGCGTACTATGCTATCCTGCAGAGCCAAGGGACTCACAGCTAAAGCGAACGTAATATAGTCTGTAATAATAGAGGTAAGAATCATAGAAAATTTGTCTACATTCAATAGATCATAATTATATCTTATTCTGTTTACTAATTATCGAAATCTTCTTAGAGAAAACGAGAGAAAAACTCTCTTTGACTGCTACTGTCTAGAGACAGGTTTGTTGTACCCATATATAGCTTACTTGAAAGGGTATCTAAATATCCCACAAATTGGTTCCCACAGGCTTTGTATTCTTGCTTTTGGCGAAGGTATGTCATGGTTTAATGAGGGGGAGTAACATTGCGGCAAAGAACATGAATGATGACATTGATGAGACAGATTGAGCAGCGAGCGATACAACAACACTAGCTACTACCTAGTCGTATCTCATAGTGTGGAAGACTCGAGCCAGTTTTTAATTCTAGACATATCCCTATCAATCGAGTCGCATGTTACCGTCGCGGGCTTCAGCCTATCTGCACCCCAAGTCTTGTAAAATTATCTGCTTGCAATTCTATTGTCACTCATTTGATAGAAACAATGAACGAACGAACGAAAGACAATTGCTACCTAGCACAGCATGGTTTCATGAAGCTACCATATGATTCTGCTTAACCTTTTATCTAGGATTAATTGGAGGAACCTTTTCCTTGAAAAGGGCATTACTTTCCAAATTTGAAATGATAACCTGATCTCACCAAGCTTGGGCTCCGGACTACTAGCACTGGTAGCAGTGCTACTTTTGCCGCTTCCGGGAGGATCTACTTAAAACAGAATTTTTTTGGTTGTTATGAATGTACTCACTTGCTTAATGTTGTATACATTTGGGGAGCTGCTGGTCCTGAGGGCCACAGAAGGTATAATTTGGAAATATGTCGATGATGTTGACCGGGCTGGCTGCTAGCCTAAACACATCGCACAATGGCTAAACTGATGTAGATCACTATCTGAACAAAGAAGTACGTATTGGTAATTAAATAGACTACTAGTAGTTTATTCAATGTCACACATGGCTTATTACTTTACTGCAGCGGAGCTGGGCTTAGGACAGAGACTCCACTGGAAAAGGCTATCTCAATACAGGATATTTCTGAAAGTGGAACAGATACAACTGAAATTTCCCGGTGCTGATAATCAAATATGCCCATATTCCTAACCTGGAGCAAGTTGTACCATACTCAGTGCCACTGTTGCTGCTATGGTAGATTACTGTATGTGCTAGCTATCCTGCTAGATGCCGATAAATGTCAGTAGGAAGATCTGGAGCATACTGGGCTGGTCATAGGCGGATATAATAGGTAATCATCTATCACGGTAGTCTTTATATTTTGTTTTTGGGTCATTCTACTAGTACTACCTACTGGTAGGTGAGGTGTTCTCCATGGATACTTCCTCCTACTTCCCTAGCGGCTAACGCATTCTTCCATTTAGTCTCCCCATCGTTACTTCCCAATACCATACATCAATGATTTATTCTTTTTTAGTGTCCATGTCCCAATCTTTCCATCTCTGATCTTGTCTCTTCTAGATTATACCATCTATCTCGCGTCTCTTTCTTCACCGAAGATAAAGCCTATCTCTTCACTTACTATCATCTTTTAAGCATTTGCCCCAATTCCAGTTTGTTGTTGCATGTGAAAGCATTTGGATTTCAGACAGTGTCGTCTCTAGCGAACAGCCTGATTGTAGTTAAATTGTTGCTTGTTTATGAAGGCTTCCGTCGACTATCTAGGCAGAAATGTCTCTACTGTCCACCGGGTCTCCCACAATCGGCCGCAGACTCTCCGAGGCCAAGTTACTCTCAAACGATGGACAAACATCATCTGTTGGACGTGAAGTATCCGTAAGTGCTGCAGACAGTAAGGGTGCAGCGATTCAATAATAATCAAGCTTCACTCTAGAACAACAAGCATATGAGCGCTTCTGATAGCCACCCTGAACCTCTGGTATCCTCCAAGCTTGGAAATTTTCAACCCTCGGTTGGTGAATTCAATGATATCCTATCGAACAAGGTCAGGTTTCTTCCAAAAAAAATTTCAAAAAGTTCCATGAAGGTCAAAATGTCTCACAATCCCAGAAACAGAAGTTGGAGCATCCAAAATCCATTTCTCCAGCTGATAACTCCGAGATGGGAAAACTACTTTCCAGGCTCTCACCCAAACCTCAACCATCAGGTATCAAGCTCTCAACAAACCAAGGAATCCTTACAAGGCTATCCGAGCAGCAAACTTTGCTTGATCGACAGAGACGTGCTCTTTATAGCAGCTATGAGAGTTTAGAAGGGCATGGTGGAGCCAACAAACCATCTAGTATTCTGCCGCTTACTTCAACCTCGCGGCCAGTTCAGTCTCTTGCCCAAGATATAGCCCTGCCGGACGCCACCAACACCGACTCATCCGAAGTTCTTCGCTTAAAGCAGGAACTACTTGCTGCTAACTCAAGAATTGCACTTCAAGAACAAGAGCTTGCACAATCTCGCGTAATCAAACACACACTGGACCAAGCCCTTGGCCCTCCTTCCGAAGTTGACTTCAATGGTCGGGAGGTCACGGAGCAGACGATCAGTGATTTACAAAACGCCTTCAACGCTTCGAATCCAACTTTTAGCCAGCTTCAGGATGGATGGAGTGGTCCAGACGACTCTCAATCAGACATTTCTGACGCGCTTTCTACGGGAGCATACAACCGGTCGCGAGGATTCTGGATTCCCCCAATTCAGCAGAGGTTCAATATGAATATGACTAACCAAGTTACTGATAAAGCTTACGGTGAGCCAATGTCAATGTCTAATAATTTCTTTAGTCAAGATTTGAGTAGGCCTTGGGGCAACCCGCTTCCCAATATTGGTGTCTCAGGAAACACTTCGTCTCTGCCTCATCGTGTGTTCTCTGGTCCGTTAACTGGAGCTTGCAGTTTCGATGCACGCCTTGCCAGCGAGCAAAGTAGGTATGCTTCAGGCTCAGGCTCAGGCGCCGGTCCACGCCGGTCTATCACACAAGCCAACCGCGGTGGGTCATGTTTTCCAACGCAGAATTCTCCTTGGGGAACATTCGCTGCCAGCTCCCCGAGCATCCAGGCGCCTAGATCACCTGTGAACCGGCAAAGCAGCACATATCAACAGATCGGATTGTATCCTCTACCGCCTTATCATCAACAACCAGTTGGGACTCCCCTCTCTCCGACAGCCTCTGAGTTTACTGCTTCCGGCGCGACTGCACCGCCATGGACATCTTCAGCCGTGAGGAGTACCTAATCTTGTATTCCTAGCACATGCTCACGCTTGTAGGTCGGTGTGAGCTCTACTCAGACGTACATTTCGCCTCTCGAGCCACTTAATTACCGCAGGCTCCTCGACAAAACTGTCTCTTGTGATTGGAGGTATATTGTTGATAAAATTGTTTGCAACAATGATCAACAGGCTTCTATTTTCTTACAGCAGAAACTCAAAGTTGGAACAGCTGAGCAAAAATATGAAATTATAGAGGCCATAGTGCATCAGGCATATCCACTCATGATTAATCGTTTCGGCAACTTTCTTGTCCAGCGTTGTTTTGAGCATGGCACATCTGAACAGATAGTTGCCATTGCAAATGCAATAAAAGGTAACACATTGAGCCTTAGCATGGATCCGTTTGGCTGTCATGTAATCCAAAAGGCATTCGATTGTGTCCCTGAAAAACACAAAGCTGTTATGGTCCATGAACTTTTACGCAGAATTCCAGAAACAGTGATCCACCGGTATGCCTGTCACGTCTGGCAGAAACTTTTCGAGTTACGATGGAGTGGTGAACCCCCGCAGATTATGGCCAAGGTCAACGAAGCATTGTGCGGAATGTGGCATGAAGTCGCTTTGGGGGAGACAGGAAGCTTGGTGGTGCAAAACATATTTGAGAATTGTGTGGAGGATGAAAAAGTAAGAATTTGTCCCTCTGCTATTCTAAACGAGCAGACCTCATAAACCAAGGAGACAGCCGATACACAACCAGCATAAAAAAACTATGAAGAAGGAAGGAAGGGGTTTGGGGTATACCCGGACAGAGAATGCTGACGAACCCTTAGCGTCCTGCTATAGAAGAAGTGCTAACCAAGATCGACCTACTTGCTCACGGCCAGTTTGGAAACTGGTGCATTCAACACATTTGCGAGCACGGCGCACCTCATGACAAGAATCGTGCAATTGAGCATATCCTCCTATGGTCAGTTGACTATAGCATGGATCAATTTGCTTCTAAGATAGTAGAAAAATGTTTGAAAATCGGTGGCTCTGAGTTCCTAGACCGCTATCTTACTCGAGTGTGTACTGGCCGTGCTGATCGACCGAGAATGCCATTGATTGACAGTAAGTCGCAACTCCAAAATTGCGGAGGGATTGGTCTTAAACTATAGATAGTTGCTGGGGATCAGTATGGGAACTACCTCATCCAGTGGATCCTTATGAACACCGCGCCTCATCAGCGTGAGCTAGTTGCTAGCCATATCAGGTATGTTTTGTTGTTTAGTGTATTTCAATAGCTCTAATTCTCCCTTGAAGGAAGCATATGGTCTCTTTACGTGGGTCTAAATTTGGTTCTCGCGTGGCTATGCTCTGCTGCAACCCGTCTCATATTACACGCCCTGGACCAGGAGCTGGCATGCAGATCGGTCGTTTCACAAACTTCAATGACGATAGATACCAAGTGTCAGGTCAGAATGGAGGCCGATTTAATCGTGGAAGCCAATGGAACCCTAACTACCCACCATTCCGCTAAGATCGGCAGCAGAGGCCTTTGCAAACAATGGGTTCAATTTTCCCGTTACTTGAACCTCGGGGGCAACATCAGCTGGATCCGTGGTGCTTAATGCGTGGGTATACGACTGATACAATATAGTATTCGACTTAGTATTCTACGGCGCTCTGGTCCAGGGTTTCGCGGCGCTTTGATCATTTTGGGCAGCGAGTATCTACGACCGACTGATAATGAGCGGTCCTCTCAACGTTCTGCACTCCATGCTCTATGTATCTAAAGCTAAGGCCCTTTTCTTTCTTTCAGCTTGACAAAACAAAAAAGCATTTTCATGAAATAGCTACATTTTATCAGAAAAACAAAGCTACAGGAGTGGGTTGTTATGCGAGAGATTTGGTTTATGGAAGCAAGCAACATTACGTGTGGAGACTCACCTTTTGTGTGCCATGTCTGGTCACTCATTAATTCCTAGTGCTATGCTATTATTTTACACCCAGAATAGTCTATAATCAGTGTCCGAGGCCTTGTGACATAAGTTTCATAAAAGATACCTACTTCTGTGGTGGGGACTAATGATCGCCGAAGTCGCCTACTTCTCGCAAGAATCCTAAGGGTCCTAGGATCAATAGTAGCAGTTCTCATGCCCTAGGCTTCCATCCGCCCCCCGCCGATTCTAGGTCAAAGGAGTTTCGCCAACTTCGTCCTTTTCCCAAGGCTTCCGCCTCCTAGGCTTAGTGCTTGGTGTGTCATGGCCTGTTAATATAGTGCTTGGTATCTGCTGAATACCAGGGACTGGTTGGCCAGTCGTGATGAGCTCCACGATGTGGGCGAAGGAGGAAGGGTATGTAGGTTCCTGAACAGGTATGGATGTCTGTTTGACATGATCCGCTGAAATACGTGTGTCCGCTAATGGAGTACTATGCTGCTGAGGCGTGGCTCCAGTGTTCTCATTTCCAGACAAGATTTCAGCATGCAACCACGCCTTATAGGCTGCAAAGTTCACAGATTGTGTGAGCTTCTCTTTTCTATTGACAGATCAATGGATAGTGGGTTAGCTTCACCATTGACACTTGCAAGCGCTAGCAATACATAATGCACTAAAATGTACTGATGCTTCCTTTATTGTTCTTGTTGTTTTTTTTGCATACCTTGAAAAATAGAAGCATTTGGCTTGTAAGACAAGGTCGTCGATGCGGCCGATCTCTGTTTCAGTTGCAGGGGTATCCGGGTGACCGAGGATAATCGCAAGGCCTTTTGCAAACTCGCGATCCGCGTGGAACGGATAGGATCTAAGTTTTTCGTATATTTCGATTTCGACCTGCTGAGTTCCTGATATAGAGTTACCGTCGTCAGCTGCACTGTGTGTTGTCTCCACGGGCAGCTTAGCAGAGAGGTTATTGTTGACGACAGGGGGAGCATCCATGACGGATCAAAGTAGGATTTCACGCCGAAGAGGAAGAAGATGAGCCAAAAAACTTTTTTGTTCTTTCTCCAGTCTCCTTTCTCTTTCAGTGTATGATTACTGATTGTTGAAGGGAACTGCGGTACATAGGTGTTAACAAAATGACGATAAGATTTGGGATTAGCCGAGGCTTAGAGGTATGACACCAACTTGTAACTCCTACCGGTCAGTGACCGAGTATACTTTCCCTAAGGAAACCTCATTTAGAACAGTGAGCACCAATCCCCAAGTAAGCAAATTCATGGATTTATAGTTTCGCTATACAATGATGTCGTATTCTTAGATAGAACTTTATCTAGATCAAGATCCATTGAATTATTATATGTAATGGGCCTAACATACACCAAGACATGTGCGAATCAAGACATCGTAGGAGAGAAGCCCCCCCCGCCCCCCCCAAACAAAAACAAAAAAAGCAAAACGCCGGGCTATGCAGTGGGTCATCCATAAGTATTTAATGAAATCTTCGAACATGCGATTCGCCTTACACTACGCCGAGGTATCCATTATCTCCAGGCCCGGGCCCGTGTGGCTTCCCAGGTCAGCCTTCCTGGGGTTTATAGTTTTGCTTTGACAGCCAGGGCAATTGTGCACAACTTCATGGGCAAAGAGGTCACAATCGATGCAGAAATGATTCTCGCATACGGTACACTCGTAGCGACTGCTTACGCTCATCCCTTTCACCTGGTTTTCCGTCATTTGCCATTCATCCTTAGTAGGCACTGGAGGAAAAGCTATACCGCAGGCGAAGCATACCGAACTGCGAGAAGCTCGTTGCCAGGGGACCTCTACCCAGTTTATCAGGGGAAACAAATGATGGTATGACCGAGCGAGATGAGTGGACAGAATTAGAGTGAGGCCGCAAGAAGGACACTCTGCAGGAAGACCACAAACTTTGCTGCTACAACGTGAGCACAAATAACCTCCACAGGAAGGCCTTGAATGACACGCGCAAAGAGAGGGTGAGGCTTCAACAGTGCGAGATGGGAAGCCCATCATTAAGAGCGAGCTCGCAGACTGTTTTTGGGAATATGTGGCTGGAGGTGTCGTTACGTCCATTAATAACTCACGGAAATGTTGCTCGTTGAGTGCCACCCCATATCTAGTGTCATCGCCGCCGTTCGTTTTTGCGCAAAGCTCACGGCAGACGGCTACTTGAGCTGCGAGACCTACGATTCCCACACGCACTTTATCATTGACGAGGGTGGCTATTGTTTGATGAATATCTCCAGGGTCAGATGAAAGAAGAGAGCCAAATATGATGAATATCTCTCGAGTACCATGCTGGGTGTATGACTGTAAAGAAACATGTTAGTTTGCGCCAGACGAAGTTCAACACAAATAATGCCTGAGAGGCAATACTCACAATAGAGCGCCACGAGCCATTTCCAGGCCGTTCTGTAAACTTGGAAGACCTTTCGGATCTTGATCTCTCAGGGTTTGTATGGCACTAATATGTTCCGTGGGGTTCCCACTCATATCACTTATTCGGACGGCGAGACCGTCCCTTAATCCAAGGACACCAAGTTGTGAGATCGGATTCTGCTCGAAGAACTCCCGCACAAGCTCTTGTGCGTACCGTAGCGTAAGAAGATATCTTGTCGGGCGAAGGTCCTTCTCTGTCATGGATTGTGATAGGTCGACTATCAAGATAAGATGACGGATAATACCACGTTGTAAAGGCGTTGTATCTTTCAGAAGCCTGCGTTGAAAGTGCATTAATATAATTTGCTGGACCTGCAGTTTCCGGTCGCCTTCATTGCTCAAGCTTACCTTTTTCTTTTCCCAGCTTCCAGGAGCCCTTCAACTGTCGAGCTAATCGTACCATCTGCACTCTCGACCAATGTCTCCCAGGTTCTCGAGACCTCCCATTCAGCTCCTCCGCGCTGTTTCCTCTTCACACGGGATGCAGACCCTTCACCCCGGGACCCTCGAAAAATATTATTATCATCTTCATCCTCAGAGACTTCCCCGATATACTCTTCATCGGAATCAGCCATGAATTTAGTGTGTTGAGCGCGGAGGGTTAAATTTTCGGGTAAATTGGTGTTACTGTGTATGAGTCGTTTCGGAACAGTCTGTAGTTGGGACTCATTTAGTTAGGTAATTTAGGTAATAAATAAATTCTTATTAAGTCGGAACAGGGTCCAAGCTCCCGGCGGAGCTCCGGGCTTGGTTAATTTTTAGCTTATTGGATACCCTAGGGAACTGAGGGAAGAGGACTACTACACGATCCTTCTCTTTCTTCTTCTTCTTCTTCTTCTCCTCTCTCTACCTTTCCAAAATTCTCCCCTCAAAGCCGCTCTGAGTCTTTGATCCTGAGATTTATAATAATATTACTCATTCTGCGTGATTGGTAGACTTTGCTAGTAACTGGTCTAGTCTTCTGCATATATATGTGCCTATTGGCCAAAAGTAGCCGTAAACAGAGATTAATTTGCCCCCCCCCGAAGAAGTTCTAGGTGGTGTCAAACCAGATGTGGGGGAAAAGATGTATGGTTGCGTCGACCAAAGCCACTACTCAGACAATCTGTCATCCACCCCGTCGCCCCATCCGGCCAAATGTCACTCCGCCCCTCCCCCTCCATCAGTTCCTCCTCGCGTTTCCCGCTCTCTTTCTCGTCTGCCTTCCTGCTTGCAAACTTGTCCGATCAAGCTTGATATTCCTTCAGCGTTTGTAAGGTGCTGTTCCTCTGAAACCCCGCGCAATGGCTGCAAAGGATAGAGAGGTTCTTCCCGATGTGTATGTCCATTTTGACTCTTGTGTGCTTTAACTGAGAATGTCGTTATCTGTATGGGTTTTCAAGAACGATGTTTGACAATAGTAATAGGGCCAAACCGGTTCACTATGATATCTCCTTGTTTGACATGCAGTTGGGTGACTCTTGGGGCTACAAAGGCATCGTCAAGATAGACTCGAAAATCACTCGCTCCACCAAGGAGATTATGTTGAATTCCAAGGAGATCGAGGTCCAGAAAGCTGAGATTTTTGGAAAAGATGGTCCGTCAGGGTGCATCCTATTGCAAGGCTATTCCTGACTTCAGGCCAAACTACTGACATAGCACACGGCTGCTGTAGGGACGAAAATAACCCAAGCGTCTGAGATAATCTATGACCAGAAGTCAGAGAGAGTGACTTTCAAATTCCCCCAAGAAATCACACCATCGGGTATTGTCCTATCCCTGGCTTTCATGGGTACAATGAACAATTCTATGGCTGGTTTTTATCGTTCTAAGTACAAGCCTGTTGCAAAACCTAGTCCTGACACCCCAAGGGATGGTGATTTCCATTTTATGCTGAGCACTCAATTCGAATCCTGTGATGCACGCAGAGCTTTTCCATGTTTTGACGAACCGAATCTGAAAGCTACATTTGATTTTGAGATCGAAGTACCGAACGGCCAAACAGCTCTAAGCAACATGCCTGTCAAATCTGAGAGAGAAGGCAGTAGCCCTGGTCTGAAAGTAGTTTCTTTCGAGAGAACCCCCGTGATGAGTACTTACGTGAGTCTGTACCTATCTATCCTAATAACGCATGTGACTAACCATTAGGATACTATTACAGCTTCTAGCTTGGGCTGTTGGTGACTTTGAGTTCGTCGAGGCAATGACCCATCGCAGATACAACGGAAAAAGCATACCTGTGCGTGTCTACACGACAAAGGGTCTCAAGGAGCAAGCCCGATTCGCTTTAGAATGTGCACATCGTACTGTTGACTATTTCTCGGAAGTATTCGAGATTGAGTACCCCCTGCCCAAAGCAGACCTCCTGGCTGTTCATGAATTCGTGAGTCTTAGCAACCGCACTTACTTGGATGCATGTATAGAAATTTACTTTGTTTTTCCAGGCCATGGGAGCTATGGAGAATTGGGGCCTTGTAACATACAGAACGACTGCCGTTCTCTTTGATGAGGGCAAGTCAGATACTCGCTACAAGAACCGCATTGCATATGTTGTTGCCCACGGTGAGCCATATTCAGAAGCGCCTGTTATCCTCGAGTTTGTCTAACAAAGGGTATCAGAATTGGCCCATCAATGGTTCGGCAATCTTGTAACTATGGATTGGTGGAACGAACTGTGGCTGAACGAAGGTTTCGCGACCTGGGTTGGATGGCTGGCTGTCGACCACTTTTATCCCGGTATGTTTTTCTCCTTTGACACCAACGGCGGCTCATTCTAACGCATGTGGGTAGAATGGAACATATGGTCTCAGTTTGTCGTACGCAATGCCCGAGGTAAATATAACGTATCTTAGTAGGGATTGACCATTCCACAGGCTGAAGGAGTACAACAAGCATTCCAACTCGACTCATTACGCGCATCCCACCCAATAGAAGTGCCTGTAAAGAATGCTCTTGAGGTCGACCAGATTTTCGATCACATTAGCTATCTGAAGGGAAGCTCCGTGATCAGGATGCTGAGCGATCATCTTGGTCGGGATACTTTCCTCCGGGGAGTAGCTAGCTACCTCAAGACCCACGCTTACGGTGAGTACTTAATGTGGGAGCAGATGGGTGCTTGCTAATTAGATACGACTTCTAGGCAATGCCACTACCAATGATCTTTGGTCTGCGCTCAGTAAAGCATCTGGTCAAGACGTTAACAGCTTTATGGTAAGCCTCGAAACAGGCCAAGGCCATGATGTTATATCCTCTTATTCTTCTCTAACAAGTCGCAAAGGATCCATGGATTCGTAAGATCGGTTTCCCAGTTATAACAGTGCAGAAGAGCCTAGCCAGATTAGCATTCGCCAGAACCGATTCCTCTCTACAGGTGATGCAAATCCCGAAGAAGATGAAACAACTTGGTGGATTCCGCTTGGAATCAAATCGGGCTTAAACCTGGAGGAGGTAAATTCCCGTGCTCTTGTTGCTAAGATTGATACTGTCCAAGGCGTCGGCAAGGATTCGTTTTACAAGATCAACAAGGATCTTTCTGGATTCTACCGCACGAATTACCCGACTGACCGGTTGGCAAAGCTTGGTAAATCTCTAGAACTACTGAGCACTGAAGACAAGATTGGGTTGATTGGTGATGCCGCTGCTCTTGCTGTGTCTGGTGAAGGCACCACTGCTTCTCTGTTAGCCCTTCTTGAAGGCTTCAGTGAGGAACAGAATTATTTGTCAGTACCCAGTGCCTTCCCAGTATGTTTGCCCATATACATAGCACTGGTTCTAATTAATTTTGTAGGGTGTGGTCACAAATCGCTTCCTCGCTTACAAACCTTCGCTCAGTATTTTCTCAGAATGAGTCTGTAGCTGCCGCACTGAAGGCATTTGCTCTTAAGTTGGTATCACCTGCTGTCCACCGTCTTGGTTGGGAGTTCAAACCAGGCGAGGAATATCTTACTGTTCAGCTACGAAAACTTCTTATCGGAATGGCCGGCCTTGCAGGCGATAAGACGTAAGCCTTGCCCCATCTCCCCAACTCTTCTTCCTTAGTTTTACTAACACCATAACACAGTGTTATTGCAGAAGCGAAAAGACGTTTCGGGCTTTGGACTACGGGCCAAGATAAGAATGCAATCCACACTAATCTGCGTTCAGTCATCTTCGGCATCAACGTCTCGGAGGGCGGTTTCAATGAATATGACTCTGTCAAAGAAGAGTATCTCAAGACGGACTCTGTCGATGGAAAAGAAATCTGTCTAGCAGCCCTTGGACGCACCAAAGATGCTGGGCTGGTCCAGGATTACCTAGACTTTGTATTCTCGGACAAAGTGGCAATCCAAGACGTACACAATGGCGCAGTCTCCTTGGCTGCGAACTCGAAGGTGCGGCGTCTACTTTGGGAGTATATGAAGGACAACTGGGGTGCGGTTGAGGCTCGCCTGTCGGCAAATAACGTCGTCTTTGAGCGCTTTGTACGAATGGGCCTTTCTAAGTTCGCAGACCAAAGCATTAGGGAGGATATTACTTCGTTCTTCCAGCACAGGGATACAAGTGCCTATGATCGCGCGCTAGTTATTGTTGCGGATAGCATTCGGACGAATGCACGCTATAAGGATAGAGATGAGAAATCAGTTCTGGATTGGCTCCAGGCTCATGGCTATGCCTGATTGTCGAGGAATAAAGCGGTCTGTTGCCAACTTGCCGTGTGAAGATGAACCAGGATATCATCATTATATTATACTGGGCCTATTCTACTGATCCTAACTAGTATACCTGAAACTATATGTCTTTTGTTTTCTTTCCCTTTTTCTTCACCGCCTATTGGATTGGCCGTTCATGAGACTTGGGACCTAAGCATCTAGAAATTTACAAGAAGAATCAGTTGTATCAGTGCGCTAGTACATAAAGGGAATGTGGAATCATCAGGCACCTGGCAGTATCAGCCGAAGATGCCCAGGATGAGTAGGTTCACACATGTAGTTAGTACTGTATCTGTATGAACTTGCAGGAGGGAACAATAATGAACAAAAGTGAAAAATCAGTGGTAGTGGCACAGTCCTCCATAATATTCAAAGCGATATCACGTACAATAGCGGGGGTTGTGAAAGCAGAAGAAGCCAATGCCAAAATATCATAGTATGGATGGTAGTAAGAATCCAGACAAATCACACAGTATTTCAGGGAAACTTTATCATTTGATTGGAGTAACTAGACCGAATCGGGTCTTGTGTCTGGGGCCCGGCGAAACGTGAAACGGTCACAAACCAAGGGAACCTGCACGCTGGGCTCGTCTGCTCTCCTGCACTACTCAGCAACTCGCAACCGCCATTTCAAAAGACGACGGCCGACTTCATCGAACTTAACACTTCCAGGCAACACTTCTTTTCCTCTCTCTCTGCTGCTACCGCTGTTTGATCTTTCGCCTGATAGACGACTTCTGTTTTTTTCCTCTTTTCTTTCGTCTCCCCTCTTTGAAGTGCCTTTCATTTGTCAACAGGTCCCCCTACACCGTCCATCATGAACCCTGAGTGGTAAGTCTTCTATTAGCCTACATATTGATGCATCTTCTTGAGGCCTTGGGTATTGCACTCTGTCTGCATTATAATGGTCTCTCTCCCTGCGTCTCTCCCCCTTTATTTTCTCAACCTCGCTGATTTGTTGGGCAATAACCAGAGTACCTACCATCCTCTTTGGTGGAAACCAACGGACGACCTACTTCTCATTCCCTGTTATCCTAACCATCTACTTAGATACGACTATCTTTTTAAGCTCCTTCTTATCGGAGATTCCGGTGTCGGAAAATCTTGCTTGCTACTTCGGTTTGCAGACGACACCTACACAGAGAGCTATATATCCACTATTGGTGTTGATTTCGTGCGTATACCGTTGTTCGGGCAAGCACATCCCTTGTACTGGTACTGACCTCTAGATAACAGAAAATCCGGACAATCGAACTTGATGGCAAGACAGTGAAACTTCAGATTGTAGGGAGAAATGCCACTACAGATGAATGTTCTTACGTAGCTAACAGGATCTCCAGTGGGACACTGCGGGCCAGGAGCGGTTCCGCACCATTACGTCGTCTTACTATCGAGGCGCTCATGGTATCTGTGTCGTGTATGATGTTACTGACATGGATTCCTTCAACAATGTGAAGCAGTGGCTCCAGGAGATCGATCGCTATGCCACCGAGGGTGTCAACAAGCTGCTTGTGGGTAACAAGAGTGATATGGAGGATAAAAAGGTCGTGGAGTACACGGTGGCAAAGGTGTGCATCTATCTTTACCTCTTCCCCTATCCCTTTGGAACGGACAACCTTGCCCTTTTCGGCAGTCGGAACGGAGGCTAATTCGTTTATGTTGTTTGAAATCAAAGGAGTTCGCCGATAGCCTTGGAATACCATTCCTGGAGACCTCGGCTAAGAATGCCTCGAACGTCGAGCAAGCCTTCTTGACAATGGCAAGGCAGATTAAGGAGCGTATGGGTACCGCCACTGTCAACAACAAGCCGACTGTGCAGGTTGGCCAGGGCCAGGGTGTTCAGTCTGGGTCTGCAGGTGGTTGCTGCTAATCGAACCAATGAGTCGTGTTTCACAGTGCTACGTTAGCCACCTCGGTATGAAGCAGGGAGGTGTGTTTGACAACTGCGCCTTGGCACTGAACATTTCTATCTGAAACGTGAAACGGCGTAGACGGCATTGCGGAAATTTTGCTATTTTCAAGCTCGAGATGATTATTGGGAATCATTTCAAATCCTTCACAATGCTTTAGACGGCCTGCGATTGTCTTTATATGTGCTCATATTGCTGGTACCCTTATTGCCCCTTCCCCCCCCTTCTTTGCTACACGCTGCTCCTTTTGTGATTTCCTTTACAGCATTTCACTATTAGTTTCTTCCATATCTTATTAGTAGGTTGGATTCCTTGCGATTTTGTCAGGAACAAATTAATGGAAAAGACCCTGAATGTTCGGAGAACATGCTTGTTGGGTGGTAGCACACAGTAGCTAGCATATACCCCAGCAATTCTCTGGAAATAATTTAATTTTAGTCTTTGTCTAGTAAGCCCCATCTGATGAAAACATAGCCAGCTAATACGATGATTAAGAAGTATCATCTATATACAAGAGTCGTTCTGACATTCTCTATCGACCTCAAATATACCGGTCGATACGTTGCCAGTACTACAATCATAAACTGAAATAGTTATAGATTTTTGGGGGGAGGGGACCATGTTGCTTCGACCCTCTCATGGTTCAGGCTACTCCGTGAAGGAGAACGATGATTATTATTGATATTCCTGTCAGCAGGCGCGAAAACCACGGGGTTAAATGATCATATGATAGTTCATTGGGAAGATCATGTCACATGCATGTAAAGGAAGATCGCACACTCGGCGAACATTGGCAGCTAGTGTACTCTGTATGTACAGAGACGAATTAACAGATTCATTTGTAGAATTAATTGCGAAGACTGGACCTCGGTCTTAACTCTCACATAAATTCATGGTGCAAGTGTTTAAGAGACTCAGGTGCGGTGCTTGACAGTCTTATAAATGTGGATGCACAGCAAATGCACAGGAAGTCTGGGCGCCCCGATGTACTATCTTTTATATTTAGTTAGAGTAGGTAAGTGAATCGTTTCAGCAGTTGTAGGGAACTGATGTTCGATAATCTAATATATACTTATGCTACTTCCGGCCGATGAGGGGGGAAATGGAAGGGCATCTGAGACAAATAAGCCGAGGCACAGGTTTCGGCAAACGTCATGCAAACCATTATCTCCATTCAAGAAGCCGATTCATTCTCGCGACTCAACGGCTAATTTCCCCTAATTCTGCCTACATATTCAGTCCTTATCTCATTTTCAGTTGATATATCGCTTCTTCAGTATCTTAATTCTGCTAGTAAACCGAGCTGGCAGTCACATTCGCTCCTTCTATATTTCACACTAGGGTTGTTGGTATTTGACCAGACCCCCTACTAAATTGGATCAACGCGTATACTCCCAAATACCACCTTCCAACTAGCACGCGCAAATTCCTCCTGTACCATGTCTCAAGCAAAGATCGAAGAACACAAGAGGGCTGTTACAGCGACTGCAGCCCAGCAAAGTGACAATATAGCGCATGCATTAGCTGGCGCTGGTGGTGGAATCCTCTCCATGATCTTGACGTACATACTCCAGTTCTGCTTTTGTTAGAGAGTTAAATAGCGGCTAACACCCATTGATCTATAGCTACCCCTTAATCACACTTTCAACAAGGGCGCAAGTTGAATCTAAACGTGCTCATTCAACGACGACTGATGCCATCCGCCGTATCGTTCAACGGGAAGGGGTTAGTGGACTGTATTCAGGTCTTGAGTCAGCGCTTTTTGGCATCAGCGTAACCAACTTTGTCTATTATTACTGGTATGAATGGACCCGCTCGGCCTTCGAGAAGGCTGCTGCAAAGGCTGCTCGAGCCTCAACAAAGCTTACAACCGCGGAATCCATGATTGCTGGGGCCATTGCCGGAAGTGCAACAGTACTGCTCACTAACCCTATCTGGGTTGTGAATACCCGGATGACAGCACGAAAATCCGAGTCAGACGAACCGGCATTGCCGGGTGCTGCCAAAAAAACAAAGGCCTCGACGATCAGCACTCTCCTGGACCTGCTCCGGCAGGAGGGTCCCAAGGCCCTTTTTGCCGGCGTCCTGCCGGCTCTCGTCTTGGTGATTAACCCCATCTTACAATATACCATCTTTGAGCAGTTAAAGAACGTAGTGGAACGCCGTAGGCGCATGACGCCGAAAGATGCGTTCTACCTTGGTGCTCTAGGCAAGATCTTGGCCACGTCCATCACATACCCCTATATAACGGTCAAAAGTCGGATGCATGTTGCTAGCAAGGACGGCCCGAAGGAAACTTTGAACGGCAGCTTGAAGAGAATCATCAAGGAGGAGGGATATGTGGGACTGTATAAAGGCAAGTTGCGACCTTAATTGGCAAGATTCCATAGTGCTCAAGCTAATATTCCCACAGGCATTGGCCCGAAGGTGACACAGAGTGCGATTACTGCAGCATTCCTGTTCGCATTCAAGGATGTTTTGTATGATACAATGGTAGCTATCCGAAGGAGGAACCGGGTGTCCAAGTAGAGGATATGTTAGCTAGCAGCGGGCAAGCTACCCAGGGAGAAAGGTTTTTTGGAACCGGAGAAGAATATTTCAAGGCTCTTAAGTGTTTCCTTTTTCACTTTTAGGGCATGGTATGCTATTATATTGGGTACTTGGAGGCTGTGGACCACCAGTCCTGGTTTATCGAAATGCAAGAGATACAGCCAGGGCTCTGTATTCCACAAGGCCAAAAGTTCAGATAATTCGGGATCAACGATCCCGAATGCCCTGGGGTCACCTATATAGTATACCGCCGTTACACGAAGGGAATTGTCATTTGGACCTCATGTTAAATCTAGGTAGAAAAGGTAGGCAAGTTAGATAATTAGAAAAACACGCTAGTGAATCCCCTTTAAGTATATCTATTCTATATCCATGATATAATATGATAAAAGAACACAGCTTAGTATTTATTAAAAATACTATTTAAAACAGACAATTTTCTTGATAATTATGTCTCTTCTGGCCAATCTGAGCCTGAGAATAGGAATAATAGTAATAATACTACGTTCTAGTACTAGGTAAATATTTTGTTTAGTAGATACGTAGCTTTTAACTAGCTGTAGACTGTATATACTAATCTTGTTAAATTAGCTATTCAATGCGATCTAGACCTAGGACTACCAATTAAATAGCTTTATCTACTAAGATAACCAATTATATAGGGCTGGTATAACGGCGGTATACTATATAGGTGCGATCCAAGGTATTCTGATTTCTGAATCGTAGATTCAGGATTACCTGACCTTTTGGCCTGTTGGGAGTGTGTTTGCCTGGATCGTACACGTGGTCGCGGCACGCCCTCTAGAAGATATAGAAAGTAAGAAATATTAGACTTTTAAGTAGACCGAACAAGCGTTTCGGCAGATAAATAGATAGATAAGTGGCTAGACAGTCAGGTAGACAGGTACTCAGGCAGGTAGTAGTTAATTCTATTATACTAGAACTTAGAAGATTCTGCTTAAATAGGGTATATCAGGGGCTTCAAAGATTTTCTTCCTATCTATGTTTAATATGAGAATATGAGGTGCAAAGAATTCTCCTCATCGTATGTATTGATTTGATAGAGTGCAACAGGGAGTTATGTTCGACTGTCATTTTGTGTATGTGGAAAATTAGTTTTCTTTTTATAGATGCAAAAAGTGGGCGTAGATATCACATGAAAGTGCTCTGTACGTACTACTGGTCGTATAGTATGTACATCGGGTCACGGGTACATCCCGGCATGTCCACAATACAGGTTAAGACAATCACCGCCTTCTGCTTTGGGGTAAAGAGCACCTCGTGAACCTGCGCGTTCACGCGTTGGTTGCTAAGCATTGGGATCATGATTAACTGATTGATATCCTCAAGATTCACTCAGTCCTGAAGGAACTCTTCCAGCTCTTGTTTTCTTTGAGACAAGGAGCTCTGTTGCTTCTTAATCTCCGCTACAGCATTGACTTCTAAGGTTTCAAAATCCTAATTCACTAGTAACCATTGACCAAGCGCAACTGCCGCATCTTCATCCTCCATCTTCTCTTCTTGTCACTATATTTCCTTAACTTTTCCTTGGTTTGTTCAGCTCACTGAAGGCCCGGATTGCATGACCACCTTATGTAATGCCATAGACGCTTGCATGTCATTATTTTAGATGCGCAAGATCGAATGTTCATCTAACATTACCCTCCATACACTGGCTGGACTACTCTGGAGGCTGCTGCTTATGAGATTTTCGACCCCTCCTTCTCTGGGCGTTAGTATTATCCAGTCGGTTCTCACTGTGGCTTTCACTAGTGAAACTTTAAGTGATACCCAGAGTAATCTAATCTATACGACGCTTCTACATGCACCTTCTGTTGAAGTATGCGTAAGCGCTTTATCGGTAATACCGGTCCAAATGTGCTAATGTTAATGTATAGGTGGTTCCTACACATCTCAAATACTCATCCTTGGCGATCTAGCGTCCTCGAATCGAGAACGCACCCCAGATGACGCTGAATATGTCTCCACCCGAACATATGAGCCATCGAGACTTCAGGTCCCAGTCCAGTCTTCGCTCAGGTTCTGTTCGGATCGGATCTGACGACCCATCTATAATAGAGGAAGCTCAGAATTTACTTTCACAGTTTATGAGGCATTCCTCTCTTGAAACCCAAGGGCCCCATAGTGGAAACACAGCCACTTCGCAGAAGATTTCCAGTTCAAAAACTGAACATAGTTCTGGGTCGCTCGGTGGTGATCCTCAAGTAGTATATGTTATTTCAGATGACTCTGCACTTGAGTCTGTGCCAGATAACCACACAGTCCCGTCAGCAGGACGACGGTACTCGGCTCGTCACCCTCGCCTAAGAAGCTCACGGACAACCCCTAGTTTAGGGAACGATAGTGAAACAGACTCTGTGTTACCTACAACGAAAAGGAAACAATCAGATAATTCCAATAATGTCCGGCAGGCAACTTACTCACCATACTTGTTAAGCGACAGGAAATCCCCTCCCAGAAACAATGACAAGGCACCAAGTACGAGACGTTCCGCACGGTCAAGAACCGGCCCTATAAATTACTACAAGAAACTCAAGCTGTTTAGTTTTGAATCTGAAGAGGAGCGTTCCGGTAATGAGGATGTCGATATAATGACCAATTCAGCCCAGCCACAACAGCGTCTCGACCGTTCCTGTTCATGTGATCTTTCAACTCCTCCTTGCTACCAAGATAGCCAGCATATCGGTCATATGCAATACTCTGTTATTTACTCCTCACCTACAGTACAAATACTCAAGTCACCCTTCAAAACACTGGATGACTTTAAGAATGTCGGACATGCACGTTATCGCCCAGCACATAACCCAGCCGATTATGCTAAGGGACTAAAGGGAGAGGACTTGGCGCCAGACAACATCCTTCATTTCGATTTTGACCTAAAGGAAATGACCGCGGTGCTAAACTTGCTGTCATTTAGTGGATGCCAATGGCGTTCTGCTCCAGACATTGCTCTTACCGATCAACTCATACATGTCGCATCCACCTTCAATATACACCCTAAGTCCTTCAAGAAGATTTCGTCCATTTTGAAGTTGTCTAAGTTACTCTCGATCGAAGAAGTGAGCGATAGCAATGCTTTACTCTTAGAAATATTGGCATCAAATCCTTGCACGAGGGAGCTACGACGTGCTAGGCGGCTCGCAATGCGACTCCTGGGGTCACAAGAGAAACAAAGGAATGAAGGCCCTTCCACCTCAAGCGATCAACACGGCCATACAGTCGAGGAAATACATAGACTGTCAGGCTGTTTATTATCTGCATCTGCGTTAGGTCGGCGCCAGTACGCAGATATAGAAGCATTAATTGCCGACGCCAAGAAAGGCAATCTCCCATCTGTCCCATCTGTCATCAAGGCTGTTAAATTGGAGGGTAGCAGCCTAACAACACGCAAGAATGCTCAAGCATCTGGCAATATAAACAAGCTCTTACAGGATCGTGAGCTAGGTTGCGCTGTGAGTCGGCAGATCAGTTCTCGTGTTTTGAGCAACCTCGAGCTTTCAAAGACTTGGAAAGGAGCCTCAAACGATGTTATAGTACTGGCGTGGTCTCCTGATGGAACTAAGTTTGCGGCAGGTGCAACAGCTCAATGTGATGAACATAACATGGAATACAACCGAGGGAATAATCTGATTCTCGGGGATTTGACCACTGATAGTCTGGAGGAATTACCAGGGCATTGGAGCCCTCGTCCGCCGGGGCTTTCAAGGGGAACTATGAATGATCATCGTCTGTTTATGAGTGTAACAGCTTGCCAATGGTTCGATGATACACTCTATACTGCTAGTTATGACAAGACTGTTAAACTTTGGAGATTCCCTAATCACAGGGCATTTTGCTACAAGACACTTGACCATGACTCTAAAGTTCAAGTTATGGCTCGGTCCAACTTTGCAAACAATGTACTAGCGACAGGGACTCAATCCGTCGGTCTCTGGCAACTAGATGAGTCAACGTACAATGTCTTGGATTTGCCTCGGCAGCGCTCTAAAAGAGAAATTGACCTTATACCAACGTCTCTGGCTTGGGGTACCATCCCAATAACAAAAGAGATACTAATCGCTGGGATGTCTGAAAAGGGCGATGGTGTGACCCAGAATGGTCTTCTTGCAGCATGGCATATAGCCGAAGCATCATCCACTCCAATACAGTTAAGCCCAAATTCACAAAACATCTTTGATGTAAAGTGGCATCCATCTCTTCCATTATTTGCTACGGCAAGCTCCGCAAGAGGAGGTGGTACGACTCTGTTGAGTTCTAAGAACACCAGGTCTGTGGTCCGTCTATATTCACCACTCATCTCCAAAATGTGTACCATGGAACTTGAGTGCCCTGCCTTGGACATAAACGATGTGACTTTCTGCCCAGGCAATTCGAATTATGTGACAGCCAGCTGTACTGATGGGATCACCTACGTGTGGGACACGCGAAACCCGGACACTGTATTGCACAAACTTCAACATGGTGAGCCGCTCAATCAAATAGATGAAACCCTTCCTAGAGAGCAAGCAGATGTTGGGGTAAGATTGGCATTGTGGGGAAACTCGGTAACCCAATTCTATACTGGAGCATCAGATGGTATCTTGAAAACCTGGGACGTATTGAGATCTCCTGATGATGCTTTTGTTCAAAATGTTGCTTCTTTTGGGGAGGAGATCATGTCCGGAGTTTTTTCGCCGGATAGATCCAATCTGTTGATCGGCGATGCTGCCGGGGGTCTTCATTTATTATCCCCTGACACCCTTGCCGATAAGAGCTTGTCTTTTAAATTCAATCGTGCTTCTCAAGTGCCATTTGCTGGGCATGATTCTGATTCCGAGTCGGGTACCATGGCTGCCCGTAAGGCCATCTTAGATGGTCATCTTTCACGCCACCCTATTTATGGTGTGGGCCAAGGCCCTCATTATAATGGACCTTACGCGGCATGGGCCCGTCCAGATAATACTCCTGACCATCAACTCGGACAGACAAAGTTGAAGGAGGAATGGCAGCTAAGGCAGCTCGACGGTGCTCCCCCTGCTCTTCGACCTGGCTTAAATGATCAACTGCGGAGAGAAATCGAATGCCAGAGACAGCTCGCCCAGATTCGCAACGTGCAGCACTTGAATAAAAGGAAAAGGTTGGAACTTGGCCATTATACGAAACGTAGGGGCGTCCTTAGCGACTGGTGCAGTGGTGATGGTTTCTGGACAGCGCCGGTCAAGCTCAAGCGACTAGCTGCAGAATCAAAGCATCCCATCATTGAAAATGCAAATATCGAAATCATAGATCTTACGGGTGACAGTGATACGGAGTGTGCGCAGCCGCCAAACGAAGGCCTGGCCTTTCCCACTACTCGAGATACAGAGGGCTACTCTGGACTTGAGCATCTACTAGAGGGGTTGGAAGATGATCACTGGTGGCCGTCTAGTGGCCAAATAGACCCCAATTTCCACGATGCTGATGTGTAGTCTTGTAGCAGCCGGGTGATGTACTGTGCCAGTTGGCCGACAGTAACCTGAAAGAGTTTGCTACTCACCTTGCATTCCATATATGATATTGATGACACTACTGGGATGTGTAGATACCGATAGCTTGTAGGTAGAATATGCAGCTGATGTGATAAATCTCTCAAACGAGGATTAAGTAGTTCCACAGTTTTTCTATATTTGCATATCTAGCAGTGAAAACCAGCGGCTATGCTGACATGAGATATAAAATGGCAAGGTAAGAACTCCAATGCCCTCACCCAGTGAAACAAAGAAAGAACGACAAAAATTAGAATCATTCTAGTGCGGCTTAGTCAAGACTGTAAGACCCAATCTAAGGGTTAGGTGACAACAAGGATTGCCAAAAGACCAGCATGTCTCGCGAGCCCTAGAAGGTATCGAGTAGCGCACCAGGTCCTAAGGGCTTCAACTGTTACCTACTATTTAGGTGCCTTACAAAAACCATTGGGTTTATTTTTGTCTAGATTAGTAAGTGGCTACCATTCAGTGCTTTCAAAGTACTTTGCTTTTCTTAGGGTAATTATATAATTATCAGTACATAGCTATGATGATGACCTTGCATAGACATTGCTGATTCGAGATTTTCGTCGTTTGTTATAATGGTCTAATCAATACCCCAAATGCATCGACAGATAATGATCTCTATACACCATCTCTACTATGTATAGGCAATCTACATATTCTATGTATATACTCCGCAGTATAAACAAAGAAGCCCCGCTACAAATACTAGGAATTAGGGGGCGAGTGGCAACACCACGAACACTAACAAGTAATCAATACACATGGCGTATGCCGGATTAATTCAGAAGCAATTCATCTATAAATGCGGCAACCTTTATTATCACGTGGCTGAGCACCGCCACTGGGGCATTACGTACAGTACAAGTTATCTATATAATGAGCGAATGAAAAGTACAAGGCATCTACACGACCACCTCGTGCTTAAGTCGAGAGCTGCTCACTAGATATTAAGCAGTCCATTTCTCCTAAAACAGAGACAAACGCAAGCACCCCTAGAAAGTGTCAGTTATTAATGTCGTTCGCCCCGCCTCCAGGACCCCCGCCTCCGGCTGTCCCGGAGGGGTGGAAGGCTCAGTTCGATGATCGATATAAACAATGGTAAGTGTTTCCATCGCTTGGCCCTACAGCTCAATTATCTGTTGGTATTAACCACGTCAAAAGGTTCTTTGTAAATCTGCGTACTGGCAAGTCCCAATGGGAATCCCCTCAAGGACCGGCACAAGAGGAACTGCATGCCCCTCCTAGCGAAGCACCTCCCTCATATGAAGAGTCTGGGCCTACGAATCCGTCGGTAGTACATGGCGCAAACGAGAAGAAAAGCCTGGGCTCGAATAATCCTTACAACCAGGCCGGCGCCAGAAGCAGTTCTCTGGACAGCGATGCCCGACTAGCTGCTCAGTTACAAGCGGAGGAAGATGCTCATGCTCGTATCAGTAGAAGCCCGAGACAGCAAGCACAGCCTGGAGCCGCTGCAGACTACTATACAGAAGCCTCACAGCCGCAGTTAGTTGGATACCGGTCGTCTTCAACCCCCTCGCAACAAATAACCGATCCAGAGCAGAAGAGGAGCAGGGGTTTTCTGAGCAAGTTGATGGGGAAAGCATCCAGTGGCAGTGGTGGAAATCATGAAAGGCCATCTTCGCAGCAGTCACAGCCAAACGGGTATCCTCCAGGCGTATATGGTTTCTATCCTCAACAACCCGCAGGTATGGCTATCCTTCCTATCCGGCCCAACCGGGTTATTATCCCGCAGTGACACAACCAGCGCGGCGCCATGGTGGCGGTATGGGAACCGCGGGAGCTGCAGCTTTAGGTGTAGGTGGTGGTTTGCTCGGGGGTGCTTTGTTGGCAGAAGCTTTGAATGACCATGACTATAATGATTACGGCTCTGGCGGTTATGATGACTTTGGCGGTGGCGACTTCGGTGATTTCTGATGTTACCATGTTTTCTGCATGTTCTTGTATTCTCTTTCCCTCCCCCGTCTTTTTCTTTGCCTGGTAGACGGCCATGCAGAGGGATGTACTATTAGAGTCGCGATGATGGTTGCGTGCGTTGCTTATTATGCCTTTTTATGGTAGGGATTCACAATTGCTTCTAGGTTTATCTTAATTCTTAGGCTTTGATTGAATCCCAGTAGGATATGATTAATGCCATAGATTGACCCGGATGTCTTTATTGCTCAAACAAATGCTTTCGCTTATCCTCGTCTTCGTGCATTTCCACCTTCTCTGCCAGTCGCTACTCCCTGGAGGCCAGCGGGCTCTGGACCTGCTGGTCTCGGATGGGCGCCAGCCATCCACCCTGCGAAATCGAAGTTGCCTGGTGCACCACCACCACCGGTGATGGCACTCCGAGTTGCACCGGAGATAGGAGAGGCCCGAGAGTGTTTTTCGAATTCGGCACGCATCTCGGGATCCACTAGAGAGATATAAGTAAGGGCAAGTATGCGCTGTAAACACATCCATGATTGCGCCACACAGGGAAATGGCTATGATATTGAACTTACTATTCTCCATCAACTTCGGCATTCCGAATGTAAACCCCAGAGCAACTAGGGCGAGCAAGATCATAGGGTTCTTAAACAAAGCAAGAGGCGAGACTAAATCGATAAATCCATTAGCGTCTTGAAAACAACAAGTATACTTCAAACTAAAAACTTTCCCTTCCCAGGGATGCTCACATTTAGATCGTTCCTCGTAGAAGCCTCTTCTAGCTAGAACTTTAGCTTCCACTACCACTTCAGACAACTTGGTCGCATCCACAGAAGCAGCATCGAGGATGTATCTCTCCGCGCCACGGTTCTCCCATGGGTTCCCACGAAATGTCTCCCAAACGCCCAGCACCGTACCGTCTGCAGCGACATCGACCCGGTAGGGCGTGAAAACGTATTCTGCGGATCGGACATCAAGCAGGTAAGACTCGGGCTTCCCCGTGGAGTACAGGCCCTGGAGGATGAAGGTCGCGGAGCGCGTCAGCGGGGCAGTCAATGAGTGAGGAGAGGCATGGCCAGTCTTGGGTTGCGTTGACGGTGGTATGGACGTAAGAGTCGCGTGCGTGCCGGATGGGAGAGCATTGGGGTTGGGAAGAAGATTTGAAGGGGGAATAACGACCGTCAAGGCGGATGTCACCACAACGGAGGAGAGGAGGACAAGGAGAGAGGAGGTGGAGGAGTGGAACAGGCGCATGGTTCTTAGGAAAAGGGCTGCAACTGTTGGTTGAAAATTTGACCACTTGGTGCAATTTGTCCATATGCATCTGGAAGATGGCAAGGACGAGTGTTGCCAAGCTCCCCAACTAGACAAGTCTGCAATGGCCCGAGATCACATGGCCTCTTACTCTTCTACCCACATGAAAACAAACTACATTTCTAGGCAATGACCAACATCCCAGATCTAGCGGAATGCTAACATCCTTATCATTATGTCACAAGCTGTAAATTGCACAGGAAGAATAGTTCAATCGGGTTGTATGTACAGCGCCCAGAGTCAGTTGCCCGTGCCAACTGCTCCAATACATAAAAGGCTGGTGATATAATATCTAGAAAAAAAAATACGATGAAAGTACAAGTTTATAGCTTGGCTTTGGGAGCTGACTCTTCCGCCGTAGCTTGGGCGTAGAGCTCATCCAGAAGCTGGCGATACTGCTTCACCACCGGGGGGCGCTTCAGCTTTAGTCTACACCCGGCACAATTAGTACATAACGGTTTGATGATGGTCAAAAGAACTCACGTTGGTGTTAACAGGTTATTCTCAACCGTGAACGGATCAAGCATCAAAGAGCAGTTCTTGACCCTCTCGTAGCCTGCCAGCTTGTGCTTCTTCGCAACTCTCTCGAGGTCCTTCAGCACTGCCTTTCTAATCTTATCGTCATTCAATACAGACCTAATGCCTTCAACATCGGTCTCACTGATGGAATGGCCGAGCACTTTGCTGGCGAATGCAGCGAATGCATCAGGCTGGACCCCGAAAATCCCAACCAAGAATGTCTGAACGCTATCACCATGGATATAGCCCTGCGCAAAGTACCCCAGCTCGGAAAGATAAACGCCCTCCAACCGCTCTGGTGAGATGTACTCTCCCTGGGCTAGCTTCAGGACATTTTTCCGGCGGTCAATGATAATAATGCGGCCCATTTCATCTATTGTACAGACATCGCCTGTCCGGAACCATCCATCTTCAGTGATGGCCTTGCCAGTCTCTTCGGGATTCTTGAAGTACTCCTTGAAAACGTTTGTGCCTCGGAGAAGTAATTCACCACGAGGATAGGGTTTATCCTCCACAGAGTAATCCATGTCAGGAAGAGACGCCAGGCACGCTTCCGTGCAGGGTGCCAGGCGTCCACAGTTGCCAGCGGTCAGATCTTTGGAAGACTGGGCGCACGCCATGGCGTACGTCTCAGTCAAACCATAACCCTGGACGAGATCAGCACCGGTAGCAACTCTGAGAAAGTTGTGGAGAGAAGGATCGAGGGGCGCAGAGCCGGAGACCATCATTCTCGTACGTTCTAAGCCTAGGGCAGCAGCGACCTTCTTGGACCATATCCGGTCATACAAGGCATGTTTAACAGTGGCCTTAGAGGGATCAGGATTCCTCAGGTTGGCTGTCTTGGTCGAAACGACATGTCTCGACAACGCGCCCTTGAAACCTGGTTGGTCCACAGTTGAGGCACGAATGGCGTTCCCAAATCGACTATAAAGACGGGGAACCGACATAAACCCGGTGGGCTTCAGCAACTTAAGGTCATCGACCAGCTCCACGATATTCCCATGGAAGTAGCCGATCCGGGCACCCGCCCAGAAAGCTGCATGTTCTGATAAACGTGCATAGATGTGAGCTAACGGAAGATATGATGCTAATGTATCACCAGCGGCCTGCTGGGTAGTAACAAGAGCCCCCGCAGTGGCTGCAACGGCGTTCTCATGCGTCAGCACAACACCCTTTGGAGGGCCCGTAGTACCAGAGGTATAGTTAATGGTGACGATGTCGGAAGGCTTAGGGGCATTGTAAGGGCGATTCGAAGTGGCACCGAGTTCCTCAACTTGATCTATCGTATAAATCGAGACGTCTTGTCCAGCAGCCACTGACTCTAAAAGGGATCGCTTTGAATGGCCAACTTGTTCGCCACCATCAAGAGGATCCAAGCTGATGATAATTTTCAGATTGGGTAGGAGAGGCTTCAGCTTGAGCAAAGTTGGGATATGCGGCAATGAGGTAACGACACAGTGCAGCTCTGCATGGTTTATAATATACTCGGTTGCGTCTGAGGCAAGGACATCATAGATTGATACGGAATACAAACCTTGAGACATGCATGCCAGATCTGTAACACCTAGTTAGCGCCATCTAAGGACAGGGAACAGAAAGCAATCAGATACCTGTAATTTGCCATTCTGGGCGATTTTGACACCACAGTCCGATACCGTACTGGCCAGGACGATGACAATTGTGTTTGTGGTGCAGTTCTACCAACCCAGCACCGAGATCAGCCCGCCGCTTTTGAACCGTCTGGTAATCTAGCCACTGGTATGGGCCGAAGGCCTTTGTTGTCGGGTTGTACGGGCGCCATCCCAGGCAATGATTTTTCGGTACTCGGTTTGCGGTCGAGTCGAAGAGGTCATGCGCAGTGAGAACCTAACAAGAGAGATGTCAATACTAAGCCGCGCCAGGCTCTGAAACGTACACTGACCTGTGGATCCAATGTCCTCACGAGTTCCTTTTGTGCAAAATAGGCACGGTAGACCCTACTCCGCCCAGGCTGCTCAGTCCCAGGAAGGGCCACCGAATACGGTGAGCCCTTTGGAGGCTCTTGCCTCAACTCGTCCGCACGAGCGAGGTGGACGGGCTGTTGGCTAAAGAACATTGCGACAGTTGCGACCTACGTTGACAAATAACCTGGGAGAGTTAGTTATGTATATAGTCTTCTACATGAAATCGAAGCCATGTATGTTATCTCGATGTCAAGGGCAAAATCTAATCATACCAATACTCAGGCCCAGGAAGCGCTGGCAGATACCGATCCAAGGTTGTGAGAGGGGAGTTTCTGGTTTCCGTAAGTGGAATTTGCGAGCCGCTGCCCTTTCGAACCAAGGTGAGCGTCAGTGAGTAAGCCGAAGATAACAGCTGAAAGAAGGTACTACCCGGCTGGGAGGCGGTTTGAAGAAAAAGAGATAAAGAGTAGAAGAGAGAGGAAAGGAAATGGTTAAGGAGAAGTATGGACCTGGCGGAAAGTTTGGGGGTCCCCAAGCCATGGGGAAAAAGTAGAGCGCTGAGTGGCCGAGCTATACCCACGATGTCTCTTTGCCTCCACACGATGTGAAACGAACCTCGGCACTTACCCGGTTCAATTGAGTCCGGGGAGGGACCTATGGGTTACATGGTAGGTACTCCGTACATCTCCCTCCAATTTAGTCCGATAAGGTGGGCGGTGTGGGTTTCCATGATATATTTTGGGGGGATCCAGAGCGATTAGTTATTATTATTCTGCATTTCACCATCTGTTGAAAGTGCCGAGGCCATTGTGACCGGAGCGGTATAGTCTGTGCTTCTCGACTAGAGCCCATCCTATTATTCCTCGGGCTTTTCGGCCGAATCGGGAGTATGTATCTACTGTGTATTCGTTAGTGTCTTTCTTTCTACGTATTCTACTACTTTTCTTTATCTGGAGTATCTTCCGGGGCCCCCATGACGATAAATAGTAACCCTCTCCGAGAGCTGGCTGACGTCATAAATTACTCACATTGACATATGTATTGTAAGATTCTAGATGTACTAGGGGCAATACATCCAAATTAAGTTGCATAAAGATCATCCATCCCGTGATGCCTTACCTTCTCTCACATGCTTTGTGGTTTAACCGAGTACTACCACTTCGTGTCCCTACAGAAGTGAATGGGTTTCTTTATCTGGTTTTTTTTTTTACCCACTTGACCTTGATTGATTTGTTTTGATTGGATTGCCCCATAAGGAGCTCATCTTCACAAATAAACCACAAAAGCATGGTGGAAAAAAAAAATTGGAAATAAGAGATAAAGAGGGGAATCTGCCCCTTCTACGAATTGAAATGTCTGTATGAAAGGTGTATGTGCCTTGATCGGCCTTCGCATGTGGTGAATTCCATGTGAAGTTCCCCCGGACCACATGAACTTTGCATTCTCCTGATGGCTTCTTACCTAGGTACGAAGTAATAGGGTGCTCGTTTACCCAGCCATCGCTATGTAGCCAATGAAAGCATTCTTGAGTGAAAAGTTGAAATCAGTTTGTTCTTTGATTCGAGATCAGAGGTAGTATATCACAGCCAATCAACCAAAACTCCATGCCATGCAAACAATTAGGGAAAGATCAAATACTGTACAAAACGGAGGGTCATGAATCAACCTGAAGAACCTATGGATAAGTGACTCCCTCATCTATCGTCCCACTATGCAAGTCCGGTTTCCTTTGAGTCGACAGCGAGCAGCCTGCTCAAAGATATGTATATGTAACACACACAAACATATATATAAATGTGCTCGTCTCCTATGTGCAAAAGAAGCAAATCAAAATAGATATTATAAGGGAAAGACTTGGGATCGCCCGAAAGTGCCAGTGACACTCCCGTGGGTTATTCAAACGTCTCATTTAACCTCGAAACGAGCGGAAGATCCTTTGATACCACTTCGTGGTGGTGGTTTCCCATGATTCGTTTTCAAGAGAAACTCGACCCGTGTCGATATCGGCCTCGAGTGGGGGAACAAACGACGTCCGATAAAAGACTTTATGTCCCAGATAGAGTACCACGAAGAGAATCAAGCTGATATAGGCGATAAAGAAATCCGTTACACTGAAACTTGGAATCCAAGCAGTGAAACCTTGAGTCAAAATAATCAACGTGTTGAAGAAAAGCCCATACCAGGAATACCAGGGCTGCCACATCGCTTTAAAGGGAAGAAGGTCACGTGACATATTGCGAGCTTTCAGAGCTCGCATGAACGCAAGATGGCAGGCATTTAGGGAACACCAAGTGATGAAGCCCGCCACGCCCGCGATGTTGAGAAGCCAGTTGAACACCGTACTACCAGCATTAGACACATTCATGAAACCGAGCAAGCCGAAAGCTGCAGTGAACATGACACCGTAGTACGGCACTCCCTTTTTCGACGTTTTCTTGAACCAGCGCGGGGCAAGCCCTTCTTGAGCCAAACCGATTAGGATACGGCTACCGCTGTAGACGTTGGAGTTGGCAGCGGAAAGCACAACGGTTAACAGGACGGCATTGATGATATGAGGCAAGACCTTGACGCCTGCAAGTCTGGCCGCAATGACGAACGGCGAAGAGTTTGCATCGTTTCCATCCTTAACAAGGTCCTCGTTGGTGTATGGTACCAACAGGCCAATGAAGAAGATGGTCAATACAAAGAAGAACAGGATGCGGTAGAAAGTCTTGCGGATCGCAGAAGGAATGGTCTTGCGGGGATTTTCAGTTTCACCTGCTGCAATACCAACCAATTCCGTGCCCTGGTATGAGAACCCCGCCTGAATAAGCACAGCCCAAAAGCTCACGAATTTGGCTGTTGAGTCTGGAGAAACATCGGCGTAAGGTGCGAATGGACCTGGATTAGTCCAATAGGTGAATCCCAGGTACCCTTTATCACCAGCCCCTGCATCAATACAAATTGCGAAGATCATAAATCCAACAACCGTGATCACCTTGATACTAGCAAACCAGAACTCCAGCTCACCGTAAAAGCTAACGGGTAGGAAGTTGAAACAAGTAATAACCACCCAGAACACTGCAATGAAAATGGCGATGTTGATATCCTTGTCCCAAAACTGTATGATCAAGCCCGTCGCAGTCAATTCTAGGGCAAAGGTACTGGCCCAGGAAAACCAATAGATCCATCCCATAGCGAAGCCAAGACTGGGGTCAATCAATCGAGCTGCGTAGGACGTGAACGCTCCTTGAATTGGCAGATAACTTGCTATTTCGCCCAGGGCCTGCATGACGGAGAACACAATAGAGCCGACGAAGAGATATGCAATCAAAGCGCCCACCGGGCCTGCTGTACCTATGGCGGTGCCGCTACTGATAAAAAGACCTGTACCAATTGTACCACCTGATTCTAGTCAGCAAGGTTACTTTCCGTGGGCGAGTCCCAATAAATAACGACAGGCATGAGGCGAGGAGGAGTAGGAGGAAAGGGGGGGGAGTATGAGAAGATCTCTGTACCAATGGCAATCATTTGCAGATGCCGGCTTTTGAGCTGGCGCTTTAGATCCGGGACTGGATTCGACTCGCGAGTAGCGCCATGCTTCTCGCAGTCCACGTCCTTCAAATCGGACGGGGTGGTAGCATTGACCTGAAAGGCCTCATCGTTGGCCATTGCTTCTTTTCTCTCGGATTTTGGCGTGACGTTAAACCCGTCCTCGAAGGCCATGTTTGGACCTAGACAGTCCAATAGCAGAGGGTGAGGCTAGGCCAAAGAGCAAGTCGTGAGATGCAGAAAGTCGAAAGGTTCTAGGTGAGGAAAAGGTTGGAAGAGCTGGCTCCACCGGAATTTTTGAGTCACCACTACACTCCAGCGGGCAGAGCCTTTTTATTTTGTGGAGCAAACTAGCTCAACCCAGAGGAACGGGGTACAGTGGTTGTCGTAGGCGTCGAGCATAGAACTGCTCCTTTGGGGGTGTTGGAGATAACAGCAATGGGAAACAAGCGATTATGTGTGCACGACCAGAAAATGTTATGTAAAAAGAATGATTAAAGTGAGGGGAGAGATGGAGGCCTTCTCAGTGCAATGGATGTAACGCTGGTAAGATAGGCTAAGAGAGGCTAAGAGAGGCAGATAGATAACCCTAATGACTGATAATAATGGTAATAATAATGATACCTTCTAGCCGGAGAAGAGGGGAAAAAAAAAAAATAAAAAACCTCACAGGGAAGGACAGATTTTTAATCCATTGGAAGGTTAGATTCTAGTCGAACTTGCTGTGGCACTCAACCGCTGAAAACTTTTCCATCCTCCGCACGAAACCCGACGTTGGCGGCGGCGAATATTTTCCTGAGGCGCCCCATCTCGAAGTGGGCCGTTGATAGGAAATTGTGGGCAGAGGAAAAAAAATTTTCTCTCGTAAGTCTGTGACGATAGATGAATTCTGGGTCCTGCGGTGGCGGGAAAGGAGAAACCGTACCAAATTGTCCTATTCTCTCAATTCATGCTCATGCTAACAAATGCTTAATTCTTTAGCGGTAAAGGAGTCGGGCCCTGTAAGTATATCTAGTAATACTAGTATCTTCGAGGAGTCCAACTCTGGGGTGGTCTGGCCCTTTAAATGTTTCTTTCCATCCCTTAGCTGTGGTCGGGGACTGAATTCCCGAAGTAGGAAAAAGAACCCTAATTAATAGCCTCATCCTCCTCCGAAGCGGATAGTACCTACCTTAAGTTGACCTAGGTACCAAGGAGATCCCTCGATTCATGCTTGAATCCGATATCTTGTATCTATGCATGTTCTGCAGTGATCTCTATCCTTTGTACATGCAGAACTATAAAATAAATCAATAGGATCTGATGCACGATAAGCCTATGACTACATACATCCAGCAAGATCTCTTACCAGTGTTCTATCACCTTAAAACTCGCACATGCGATCACGATGACACAGGCACAATTATAGCCACTTCAGAACTCCATCACCCAACTCCTGCTACAGAGTTAGTGAAATGAAGATCATACATTGACCACGCATAGACACATACATAGGTATTAATTCGTCCCAAAGAGCTTCACATCTAACTATATACAAGGGTAAACCAAAGGGGCATCCACCGAAGAACAGTGATAACTCAAAAGGCTCAAAAGCGAGCCATCAGAGGTAAACTGGTCAAGT